AAATGTTTAGAACTGCTTTGTAATAAATGAAACCGTTTTTTCTTTTTTGTTCTCCCATCGGTTTTCCTCCAATTTTATGAGCTGTCATGATCTAAACTGCCCAGTGTATCCTTTTATGTGTTAGTGACTGAATGAATCTATTCATTCAAATGTATATCTATTAGGATTTTGTTTCCAGGTATGGGAAAGAAACAACAACTTTAAAAAGAGTCCCTTCCATTAATGCACTGCTGATGTATGTGTATATCTTAGTGTTGGTTGTTGATCATTTTAGTTTGGGTAGTGGGTAGTGACCGACAGAACGAGATCGCGGATACAAGCGGCAGAAATGAGCTTCCTCCGAAGGCTGGCTGGCCTCTCCCTTAGAGATGGGGTGAGAGGTTCGGCCATCCGGGAGGGGCTCAGAGTAGAGCAGCTGCTGCTCCAGCTGAGGTGGTTCGGGCATCTGACAAGGATGCCCCCTGGGCGCCTCCTGGGTGAGGTGTTCCAGCCATGTCCCACCGGGAGGAGGCCCCGGGGCAGACCCAGGACACGCTGGAGAGATTATCTCTCGGCTGGCCTGGGAACGCCTTGGTGTTCCCCCGGATAAGCTGGAGGAGGTGGCTGGGGAGAGGGAGGTCTGGGCCTCTTTGCTTAGGCTGCTGCCCCGCGACCCGGCCTCGGATAAAGCGGGTGAAGATGGATGGAGTTCAGTCTCTTGTGTAGCTTAAATATTAGTCGATTAGCCCCTCTTTACAAAAGCCACCTCTCCTCCAGTTAACTAATGGCCACACTGCTGCGCTACTGATTTTTGTCTGCTTTAAATGTCGTGGTAAATTTCTTCCCGATGACATTCAAAGTCATATCAAATTTTTAAATCATGACCACCAATGAAAATGTGACATCGCCCCTCTAATATTCTGTAATCGGCCGCTTTCTTCTCTTTGCTACAGAGGCAAAAAGCTTTTTGCCTCTGTAGCATTTACACTCTGTCTGAGCATGCTCTGAGCGTGCCTCTCCAGGCTGTACCACTGAAACAGGACTGTTGTCGCCTTTGAATAAGCAGTTGTTTGCTTTGCTCTCAAGCTGCACCACTTTACCCTTTGCAGACCACTTGGCTCAGCTGCACGAATACCATTTGTATTAGAATAGACTCTGTGAAATGAAGCATTTTATCTAATATCAATTTTTGCCACTAGCAAAAAGCACAGACACTAAGGGATTTTTTAAATCTTAAAATCAGGGTGTATTTTGTCTGAAAGTAAAGATAAGGTGTTGTTATTTCTAATACTGGGGTGATCGTGGCTCAAGAGTTGGGTGTTCGCCTTGTAATCGGAAGGTTGCCGGTTCGAGCCCCGGCTCGGACAGTCTCGGTCGTTGTGTCCTTGGGCAAGACACTTCACCTACCGCCTGCTGGTGTTGGCCAGAGGGGCCGATGGCGCAATATGGCAGCCTCGCCTCTGTCGGTCTGTCCCAGGGCAGCTGTGGCTACAACTGTAGCTTGCCTCCACCAGTGTGTGAATGTGAGTGTGAATGAATAGTGGAATTGTAAAGCGCTTTGAGGGGTCCCGAAAAAGCGCTATATAAATGCAATTTATTATTATTATAACTACATGCTATAATGTGCCTAAGGGCTTAAAGAGCCTCAATATCGTTTTTATACTTTTACACCACTTTAAAGTATAAAAATATCATTTGAAAATATATATTTTTGTTGCAGTTTACCAGCTCATTTTGTATATTATAAGCTTTAACGAAAACAAGGAATTTATAGTGAAACAACTACCAGCTCAGTTCAGTGTTTTGCTCCCAGGTATGCTTTAGGTACACAGTCGCGTCCTAAATGACCCTTTCCAAGTCCCAACATAATACAAACTCAGAGGGTGCAGCTGATAAGCTGTAAATGTGTAACCTAATTCTGGGTATGTCGCTTTCACAGAAGCATCTAATAGGATAAAAAAATATATGAAAATGTTACATCACAGCCAGTGAATCAGTATTTATTTGTTTATTCACCAAATACTTTGAAATGCTTTTAAACAATATTTAAATTTAGAATTTTCTCTCTTTGTTAGCATGTTTGGTTGCTAGCTGAATAGCCGGTGATCCTATTTAGAGAGACGTTTTCCTAATTAATCAAAGATTACGATTATTTGTCACGATTATTCATTAAGTTTATGACAAAAATGTAAACATAACACATCTTCAGATCTATATAAATCGTTGTAAGACAAAATGAATCAGAGGAGCACTGCTTTTACTTTTGGATTATCCTAAATTTTGCAGACAAATAATAATATAAGGTTTTTCACTCGACTGAACCTACATGATGAATGTGACTAAAACTCGTAGCAAAGTTCATGCATCAGCTAGACTCCAAATTAGTGTCTTTCAGGCCTTCAGATGTGTTACTTGTGTTGCTTTGGGGTGCAGACGCACAGCACTCTTTGGATATGATTTCTTCTTGGTTACCTCACGTGCACTAAATCTGAAGTATTTCCAAACAACAGTAATGATCTGCTTCAAGGGGCAAGCTCTTTGCCTTCTGTTGTGCCACAAATTTGCATTTGTTATATACTTGTCCAGAAACTTTGCTGTGCAGTGTGGGAGTGACTGTGATTGGCCCATGCATGCATGTGGCTGGGCAGCGATTTAGAGTGCATTTGATTTGCTTTGTGTTTTAAAACCGCAAAAGCATACTCGATCATGCTCATTTAATTATTGGAAGCCAAAATAGTGATCAGACCTAAAATCCAATTAATTGTGCAGCTTAATCCTAGTATATATTTTGGCCCTCAGTTGCTGTTAGAATTAGTTTCAAGCTGGTTAGAGGCCACTCTTACGTCTGGAGCAGATACTTGTTGATGCTGCTGGATTTCTGACGAGCCCAACTGAAACTACTGAATTTGCTCATTTAGAGTTGAGGCATAACACAAAGCCAGTCCTATCACTTGGTTACTGAAGTGTCACCCTTGACTTCCTCTAATGTTGTTCGACTGTAAGGTTGATGAGTTTCCCTTTGGTTGCAGATCTGTTCCTGTTGTTGTTGTTGTTGTTTTTAAATATTGTTTACCTTGTAAGTATGATAATTGTGTTTTAACAACAGTACAGTATGTTAACTGCACATGCATCAGTGTGTTGAGTTCATGACTTTCTTATCACTCTCACAGGGGGGAGAAGCTGTTTGTCTGCTTGCTGCAAAAGCTGAAAGTCCCTGTTGGCCTGGCTTTATTATCGCTGGCTGATCTGTAATTATAGACATGGTGTACACGTTTGCAAACCTGCCACAAGTCTCACCGTATGTGTTGAAAGTATTCTCTCAAAGGAATCGGTGAGCCATCAACATTCAGCATGGACTCAGTGAAAAAAAAAAAAAAAAAATCAAGCCAAGATTTGCTGTTCTGTTAAAAACTTTCATCCACAAGTTGCAGCGACAGCACAAAGAGCATTGTTGTCATATAGCGTCATGCATTTGGCCTGTTAACCGCCCTTAACAACACCCTTAGCCTTGGACCATGAGCCTCCAATTCACACAGCTGGGACTATAGGCCTGAACCTCTGCAGTAATTGGAGCAGGCTTAAGTCTTCAGTAACGTGCAGCACTTCTTGTTGCCTAGCTACAAACAAACCTGAGTTGTGCAATATGGAATCTCCCCAGAAGCTCTCAATATAGAGATGAATATTTAAAAAAACACAAAAACATCACACTGAAAGGAGAACATCCTGCTTTTTGGTTTTTGTTTTTTTAAGTGAAAGGATATAAATACTTCTATTTTCCATTAAAAAAAAAAGACATGAAATTTAAAAAATCACTCATATTATAAGACACAAGTTCGGACCTGTAGCAAAATGTCAAACTGCTCAGCTTGTATCGATTGATTAATTTTGCTAAAAGCGCTTTTTTAAAATGTTCTACTTGTGCTGCAGACATCTATAAATCGCTTCTTTAACTGCACATGGGAGCAGTGTGTTCTCTGCAGCTTCCTCAGCAGACGTCGGTGTGAAATGTTGCTGAGAGACTGTTTTGGAACAAGAGAGCGACTGGGTGTGTTGGCAGACTCCTCGCACCTTGAGACCTGCATCAGTAATGATACAATGTCTGTATGCATCTAAGTGTCCCTTGCGTAATTCATCTCCCGACCGGTGCTGTGTCATGAGACTGCAATTGAATTGGCAATAACAGGCCGTATGCCATACTGTACCATTAGTGCTTGTGGATGCCCCTCATGGTGTTGGCCTCGGACAATAATTTGCTGTCTTTGCTTTGTCTTTGTCCTATTTGTTGCTTGCTCAACCACGGTGCTGCTTGAAGAAGACTGTTTAACTGCACACTCTCTGCTTAGTGGCTCTTTTCTAACCTCTTGTTTCATGCAGTCATGAAACATTAGTACTGCACTTTTTTTTTTTAATTTAATTGTACCTCTACATATGGTACTTTTCCTATACAAACTTGAATCCCAAGTTGAGAACAAGGCAGCAAAAGGCTGCGAAAGTTGTGTAATAATGCTACAAAACGGAAAAGTTATTTGCAACTAGTTGGCAACAGGATAAAGAAGAGCTGCTAGAGGGATTGAGTCTTAAAAAAAAGATGTAAAGAATGTTTTCTCTTGCAAAGAATTAGGATTTTGGACACAAAGCAATCATAAAACGATTATCTGAGTTATTACCAGGCCCATCCTGAGTCCCTGATGTTAAAAGTCCACCAGCAAAATGTTCACAGCAAATTCCAAACATGTCAAAGTTATAACAATATAAAAACATCAATCCTCACATTTTAAAAAGACAGAAATGGAAGTAATTGTTTGATAAGCAATCTTCTTTTCAATTGAAGTTTTCCACGAAGTCTTTCAGCTGCAGGTTTTCCTAAGTAATCAAATTCCAGGACAAGCATACAGCTGTTCTAGGCGCTCCGTGAGGCTGTACATGGGCACAGCCGCGCTTTCAGCTAAATGTCAGCTACTAAAAAGTTACATGTTCACCAGTAACCTTGGACCTCTCTCTCTTTTTCCTGTTCCTTTCAGATTGACGGGGCCCTCTGGTTATCTGACTGACGGTCCAGGAAACTACAAATACAAGACCAAGTGCACCTGGCTCATTGAGGGACAGTAAGTACAGACAACGCCATGGGAAAGCAAGTTCTTCTTCAGAGGCGCCGAATTAATTAGCTCAGAACACATTTGTTCCACGTCCTAAATAGCACTAGCAATAGGAGTACTTTTTCAATTGAAGTTTAACAGCTTTGAATATATTATATCATCCTGGATTTAAAAAAACAAACAAAAAACCATTGGGAAAACTGGCACAATCCTGTTGATCATTAGCTTTTGCCATTAGGGGAAACAGTGGGAACAGTGGGAAGGAACCCTAAAAACGTTGAGACTGATGGGATTAGGATTGTGCAAACTGAGGCCGCAACTCAATGTTGCAGGCGGGATTTATAATGATTAGTTTGTGCACAGTATACATTGCAGACTCCTGCTGTGCTCCAGCCCCTGGTAATGTGGATAAAAATGAATGGCAAAGCAAGTGTAAGAAATCCAATAGCCTCCTTTCTCTATCGTTTCAGTCAGCACATCCACGCCACCGAGTATCGATTTAAAGCGACGATTCTTGATTTTTTTTAATTTATTTTTTTTAATTGATTTTTTGGTTTCGAGCTTATCCAAACTTTAAACCCGCCGCTTGCATTTACATTCCAGGCAGATAGCCAGCATGCTCATTCGGGGGAAGGCGGGGCTAACTAAGAACGAACACGTAAGGCTCAGGAGATCGCGCTTCTGCTCGCCGTGCACATCTTACACAGTTTTGAACTTCTGACCTTCGTTTTCCCGGATGGCTTCTCTAATCACCATGTCACCCTGCCGTCCAGTGTTTCATTACATACTGATGGCTCATTTTATATGCCATCTTGAGACTTTAGCCCATCTTCAACAAGAGGTTAATGTAGTGACATATGCGCTATATGCGTCACACTGACAAGAATACTGTTGAAGAGGTTTTATGGGCTTCAGATATGCTCTCACTTTGAACCTTCAAAAGCTCCCTCTGCAGCTAAGTGTATCGAATCCATTTCTAGTGGCTTGAAGTGACTTTATCTCCTGAAAGCCAATGAAATAACTACTAAAATGTGGCTTTGCTCGATGCCTTGCTCAAAGGGGTCCCAGTGCTTCCTACAAAAATAAGGGCTTACATTAGATTAACAATTTACCAGTCACAAGTCCTCTGTACTCGAACCCCAGGGGCTGCTGCCATTCCCCAGTTTGTCTGCTAGGTCATTAAGGAGGAGCCATCGCTTCACTCTAATAAATATAATTATAAAGAGAAAAATGTGACTATTCATAACACATCCTGTATGTCTCAGTTTCTCATCGTAGATGCACTGAATGGGTCTTTGTCTTCTTCCCTCCTCTTTTGAATGATTTCATTTAGCCATGTTTCCCCAAATTTAGAGCAGAGTTTGTTTTTTGTTTTTTAAAGGATCTCATTAATGTCTTCAATCAAAATCAGATTAAGCCAGCTTTTTTCCTGTTTTGCTGAACACTGCCCGTGCATAAAAACATCCGGCCACAGATACTTGGTTTATTCACTGTCTCTGTAGCACACATTGTGCAACAGCGAAACTTGTCTGCCATATAATTCGCTTGATGTAATCGTGTTTTGCTGGTAGACTAAATAACTGGGATGCACGCCGCAGTATGGTTTTTACACTTGATACGGAAAACATAGCCGATTTGTGCAGAACACTGCAATGTGATTCGAATATAAAGGTGTAGTTGGTGGTTGGCCACACACAAACGCTAGTAAAAATGTTGCTGTAGGTGGTGACTGTTTCTACCATATCACCCAGTTAATCATCCACCTTTTATTGTCCTGAAAGTATCATTCCACAAGTTCAGCTGTTGGAAGAGTGCAAAGCTAAATGTGACCCAGTCAACAAGGAAATATTTTTTATTGCACATAATAAAACTATGTAAAAATCTAAACAAAGCAAAAACCTTAGAGTAGGTCCTATCTAATAAAAAATTACACGTTTCCTGGAGAAACTGTTTGTTTCCAAACACAATTAAGTGCAATGGAGTGGAAACGTTGGGGCACCTCTGGTCAAATGTTCTCTTAGTGTGAAAACCAAAGACAGGAGATGATTTCCAGAGGGCTTAAAATTGAAATCTGTGCATTTTGTTAATTGTAAGCAAGATTGATTCTTTATTTCTGTCTTTTACAGTTTTGAATAACAGTGTGCAAAGTTCCCAAAGCGCTACTTCTTCAGGACTTACAGCCATTTTTCTAAGTATCTTAGCTTGCAGAGATTTTCTGTAGCCAGAAGAGTCACATGATTCCTGTTTAGTTAATTTTTGTCTGGTGGCCTTGAATGCACTTCTCTTTTGTTGTCTGGAAACTTTTTTGTTTTTTTATGACATGTAATTCAGGACACTGTGAGAGGCATGCCAAAACCTTCAGCTTGTGCTTGTTAAGTAGTCCATTCCAGGGTTTTGATGCATTTAAGATTATAATGCTGCTGTTACCCTGTTTTGTTTTGTTTTTTTATCTTTAGCGATTTTACATTTGGTATGTTGATGCTGTGATTTTTAGAGGCTAGCCTCAACACAAACCCATAGTTATCTTGCAATGGGATCACAGCACTGAGAATAGTAATGCTGCATGGTTCTTTAAACATAATGCAGGTACAAAGCTCTTTAACTGGACACGCCACAGGCCTCGTTACCACCAGCGTTTGTGTGCGTGCCATTCTGTCTGTCTGTAAACACGATAGCTTAGCGTTTTGGGTGAATTCTGTGAAAACTTTGTAAGCATGTAGAGCTCATGTTACCAGTCTATTCAAATATGGCTCACATCCACCAAGGGCAAATTATTGATTTATTGGTCAAAAATTAACATGAACTATGATTCTTACACGCGAGTCTGTGTGTGTGATTGAGCGTGTATTTATATCTTTGTGGGGACCAAAAGTTGGAAGTTCACTATACTTGTGGGGACCAACACCCCTTATGGGGACCAAAATCCAGGTCCCCACTAGTTTGAAGGCATTTTTGAGACTCAAAATGTGGTTTTAGTGTCAGGGTTACAATTGGGTTATTGTTAGGTTTAGGGTTAGGGTAATATAGAAAGCATTGTATAAAGATTTGACCTCTTCTCGACTTCTCCTTCAAGGTCAAAGTGAAAATAATGGAATGTAGAACTCTTTAAAACCACATTTTGTATTGACACCATATAGGCATACAGGGCCGATATATGGGAATTAAATATCCTGTTACTTTGGACTTCTGACCTCTTCTACAAGTTCAAATAAAGGTCAAACGTCTTATCTTCAAAACTGCTTTAATGCTGCTGCCTTTGTTTAGATTGGCAACATTTAGGAAGTGATGCTGATATATGGGGATTATAAATATAATATTATAGTTTGGATCCAAATATCACCTCAGGATGGGTTCGATCTTTAAAGAAAGTATTTTTAAGACAAAGAGAATGAGCTGCCTCGTTAGTTAGAACTATACTGTGGTATAATATTATATAATGGGCTGAAATAATTCATGCCCAGTTATTTGCAGATTAATACCTCTTATCCATTACCTCCTTCACCTACAGTAAACATCTGTCATGCTGTACTTATCTGATTTTTACTGCACTGCAAACTTAAAGTACATTTTAAAAGAACAAAGAAAACCAGATGAATATGTAAAAGGTAAAAAAAATTCTGCCCAGAGAGTGAGCTTCCTTGGCGAAGGTTTGCGCTCAGACAAGTTTGGATCTGCTAACCTAAAAATCTTGCGAGCAGTTCCCGACCTCTGCTCAAAGAAATGGATATCTGAAAAAGACCGGCTATCTGTTCAGGCTTGTATGTCTGGTCTGTCTTCGACTGCTCTGCATAAGGTTTGACATGTATGTAGCTGTGAGGTCTGAGAACTTGTCTGTGTTTTACAGGCCCAACACCATTCTGCGATTACAGTTCAACCACTTTGCTACTGAATGCAGCTGGGACCACCTCTACGTGTACGATGGCGACTCCATCTATGCGCCCCTTCTGGCGGCTTTCAGGTAAAGCTTCAAATATGTGACAGGCTTGCAACACGCTTGAGTATAAATGGTAATAAAAACACTTTAAACTCTTCTTTTGGGTTATTATTGTAGCGGTCTGATTGTTCCTGAGCGATATGGGAACGAGACCGTCCCGGAGGTGGTGTCTCAATCTGGCTACGCCCTGTTGCACTTCTTCAGCGATGCTGCCTACAACCTGACCGGCTTCAACATTTCCTACCGGTGAGAGAATCTCTGAAAAAACAAAGTACCACATCCTGCATTTTCTTATTTATTTTTAAACAAACAAGGATTCGGCTTTCGCTTCAGGGAAGTCGAGGTTTCTCCGCTGACTGGCCAGACCACAAAACAAATACAGAAACTAGATGTGTTGTTGGCTTCGTCTGTCATTTTTTTTCTTCTTCTTCATATTTGATATTTTAGCTGGAGTGGCAGCTCCCGCATATCGACTTGTTCATAATCCTCTGAGCTGACTGTGCAGTCCTGTCATGCCTCAGGGTTTGCAACTCTCGGGGTCCGCAAATGCGTTCGTGTTGTCAGTCACTCGATAGAAAGTATCTACCAAATGACAAATGCCTGGATACTGAGCCCTGACAGGAGAGCCTCTGTGCAAATCATTTCTGTTTCACTGGCTGAGATTAATTTAGGTGAAGGGCCCACTTCACACCCTTCCTTGGGACACGATGACGCATACAAACCTCTCACTCGCTACATGATTCAGCCGGTGTGCTGGCACGATTGGTGGAGATCATTTTAGCGGAGGATCATGTCAGGTTACTGCCGTCCATTTGCTGCAGTGTGTTGTTGCAGCATCAGTACTCCTGTTATTGTTCAGACACACTGTGGCACTTTTGCTGTCTTTTTGTTTGTGTAACGAATATGTGGTTCCTCCCTGCTTTTCAGGGACTGGACGGATAGAGTGGCCATACTAACACGCGTGTTATTAGCCGCTGAACATCTCATCATGTAATGCAACCATTGATTTTATTTAAGCTTAAGATTTATTATTGGCATTTTAACTTTTTATTAGACTGTTAGACTAGTACAAAGGGTTTACAGGAGGGTGGGAGGAGAGAAATAACACTGAGGAACTGCTTGTAGGCCTTCAGTGTATGGGTTTCCTGCTCAACCAGGTGAGCTATGGTGGTGCCCATTTGATTTATTTTATCTTAAACTGTCTCCATGTATGTGGCATTGCAGTCGTTTGTGGAATTTATAATGAATTTGTTACAAAAAAAAAAAAAAGTAACGGAGATAAGTAATTAAAAAGCTTGAATGCCCATTTTTAATCCGCCTAGTTTCCTCTGCTTGTCTAAGCAGAGTCAGATGCAGGATCTTTTGCATGTTTATTTCTTCTTCAGCTGTCTCATAGCTGTCGGTGAGGGTTGGAGCTTGGATTGGCTTGTAAACTGAACTGTTTTCCTCTCAGCTCACCTCTGTGTTCAGCATATCTGCCGGGGACATCAATGCTGATGCAGCACCCTGGCTGACTTTTATATCTTTTATCTTATGCTCTGACTCAGTGCAACTCTAGGAAACCAAACACAAATTTAAGCTGAAAGTACTGCAAATATTATTATACATAAGTAAAAGGAGTGAACTTTTAAGGCCGCTCTTTGCCTCTGTCAGTACTTTGGGCCTATGCCAGCAGTTCATTTCTCTCCTCTTTAACATGCTTTTAATGGCTCCATTTGGTGTAGTGTAATGATGCTGCTCTTTGCTCTGCAGTCTGGTATCGACGCTGTGTGCAGGTCCAGAGTTGAGTTTCTGTATTACTTATGGTAACTATGCTACATTGCATGATTAAATATTATAACCTGAAATACCTGAGGCAGAGCAGAGGCCAAATGTAATGGGGACACACCTAAAAAGGTTTGATCAACACATCAGCAAACAGCTGATAATGCAGAAAACAAACAGCTGTGACAAAATTATAAAATTAGATTGTGGATCCACGTAGGGCTGAACGATTATGGAAAATAATCTAATTGCGATTTTTTTTTTGCCCCAATATTGCGATTGCGATGCGATATGCGATAATTTTTTAAGGTCTTTGTCTTCTGTATTATTAAACAAAGACAAGCAATACATCATATAGTATGGCCAATACTATATTACATTAATTTTAAACTGTTCTTTCCTGGAAGACAGACCTCTGTTATGATGACATGAGGTGATGCATGAATTGATGACTGACATTTTTATTTAACTTCTTCAATCACAACAGTATATTTGAACATACACAATAGTTTATTTTTAGCTTACAAACATCTGAGCATAAAGTGCTGACAAGGAACCCTGGTGTAAACATTAAAATGAAAGTCAGTACAATGTGCAGATTGCAGAAATATACATAAAAAAAATCAGTGGCTTTACCACACTCAGTTTTTCGACATCTGTGAACTACTAGACAGTCATTCAATTAAAAAATAATATTAAATAAATAAAACTAATAAATAAAAAATACACACATCTTACTGATCTCTGCAGTCAGTAACATTACACATAAAGTGCAAACATAATAGCAATTGTATAAACACACACACAAACACGCCTTTAAAGTTTAAAGGCGTGAAATTGGACGGTCTAGCCTTCTGATTAGCTAATCAGAAGGCTAGTTCTGATTAGCGTCACCGCTGTCTCGGTGGAGTTTAATAAACTCGGCCGTCTGCTTCTTGCTATCTAAAATATAACCAGACACTGGTGTAAATTCTCGACTGTCTCATACTTCTGTTTAATAAGTTTTCTGTTTGACGTTTAGTCAGCTGTGTGAAAACCAAGGAGGAACCCACCCGGGGGATTAATAAAGTTTTATTTTATCTAATCTAATAACTTTAATCTCAGCCAAACCGATTTACTCACGAACAAACAAAACACTGAAAAAAGCCCAACAATAACATTTTTAGGTTGTCTAAGTGACTTATATATTACGTTTAACCCGAGCAGCGAAACTCCGCGGTGATCTGAAAATGATGTGCCGGGAGTTGTGCCGTTCTCGGCCGCATCAGTAACCCTCGAGCTCCCGGCTAGCTGTCGAGCTGGTGGGTAGCAGACGCCTCTGAAAACGTCGAAGCACTTTTGCAAATATGGGATATCTTGATAAACCGAGCAGATATTTGATGTTTACACAACTACTTTCTCGCCTGAAAATATGTTAAAAGTTTATTTTGTGACCCAGAAAGATTAGTATGAGTAATTTTAAAACTTAGTAGCGGCCGCCATTGCTGGAAACTGGAGTTTGGCTGGGCCGCGCTATGAATTCTGGGATATGGTAGTAATTTGGACAGCCTTCGGCACGTCGCTGTGACGTAATCGGTCCACAAATGCGGCCTCAGGAGGATGCAGCCCATGAATTTGGACATGTCCAGAGTATAATCGCAGCCTTTGCGGTTAGAAAATTGCACTTGATCATGTCGCGATATTATCGCAAATGCGATATATCGTTCAGCCCTAGATCCACGTTCATGACTAACCTTACTCTTTACCCCTTGTTTGACACGAGCCATTACAGATATTCATATTGTGGATGCCTCTGTCTACAAAGCAAAAATCTTCTTATATATGCCTCTTTTTATTCCAGACAGAAGGTTTAGCATAAGTAACACATCCATATGTGGGTTCATCATTACTAAACTTCAAATTTAGTAGGGGGGGGGGAATGCTTTAAACATTGTAAACAATTGTAAATGGCACAGTAGACCCCTGCTACAGTCGCCATAGCAATGGGACTGATGTTGTGCTGAGGACAGCTGGATGAAAGCAAAGTGCCCCCCTTTCCAACCCCCCCCACCTGCAGCCCTTGGTGTCTGGGAGAGGTGGAGGAGCCGAAACATCAAACTATCTGGCACCGCAGGAACATGAAAGAATCACGAGCGCCTTTTGTGTCATCGCTCTCAACAAGTGTGTTTGCAGGAGGAAAGAAACGAATGCCTCTGTGTCCACCTTTGATTGGTAATACTTGTTTGTTTACGCTTAGGACCGAGTCTTCCTGTTTTTATTTATATATATATATATATTTTTTCCTCCAGTTAGTAGAGCAGTGTTTTAAGTAGTGTCTCATTTTGTGATATGGTGTTTGTGCAGGAGCTTGGTGCTTATTTCACTGATCTGCAGCTGTGTTGTACAGATGCATTTAATCTGTTTAAGCCTCTGCTGGCCACACAACACAATGTGGTATCCCTAGGCTTCGGTGTACAACTGTAATGCTTCAAATGAAGGCAGATGTTTATCTTATTAAAACTATATTCTCATTCATTATTTGTTAATACACTGGCATGCAGCATGCATACTAATATCCAGTTATAACTGTATACCTCTGCACCACAGGACAGGCATTTGCGTCTATTCCTCAGCAGCCAGCTGCCACAGTATGAGATACTTGCTTACTTTTAGTGGATGGAGTGAGTGCTGATTCCTAACTAATTGATATTTTGATGTGACTGAAGAGTTGCCTCAAACTGTCATTGAGCTGTTATAATATAAGGAGCCTGTTTGACATTGAGAGCACCGGTGTTACAGTTCTACTGCAGACTGAGTGTGTTTGCCATCTGCTCTGCAGTGCCTGGGGAAACTTCCTTTGCCTCAGCTTCTAGCTCAGTGCTGTTTGAGTGTAGATATCCCTCTGAGATGACTGGCAAGTGTTGAGACAGGTCCTTGACCACCCGATGAGGGAAGGACGATGCCAATAACAATACATTCTGCTTTCTTGAGGGGGGGGTGTTGCATATTTTAGCTTTAAGCGTGGAGACGGAGGCCACAGAATCAGAAGTAATGCAGTTGCTGAAAGGGTTTCCTGATGTTTTATTCAGGGTTTTTAGATCGAAATTCCAGTTTTTCTCTCTGACTGTTTCCTTCTCTTTCTACCTTCCAAGAGTGAACACCTGTCCTAACAACTGCTCTGGCCACGGAGAGTGTCATGTGGGGAACTCCACTTCTTCTGTGTACTGCGAGTGCGAAAATTACTGGAAGGGGGAAGCCTGTGACATCCCGTACTGCCTGGCTGACTGCGGGGAACCTGAAAGAGGCAGTTGCAAGGACAAGACCTGCGTCTGTACGGCTGGGTGGCAAGGTAGGGCTGGCAGCTTGGCGGGAACACTTTAGCAGATGTGCGACTTCATCTTCACATATGCTTTGCTGGTGTTACTATCCACAGCAAGTTGGCCTCAGCTTTCTCATACAACCCAAATCCTCCCAAGGGACTAAAATAAGCCTTTGACTGGCTATCAACAATGAACAGTGACAATAAACTTAACAGTATGTCCGTCAGGTGTGATCAGGTACCCAGACTGTCACACTCATTTAATAAAAGCGGGAATAACTGTGTTTAGATCTTAATGAACAAATCACAGCAGGATTATTGTTGTTGAGTTCTCTCTTTGGTCACCCAACCCCCCCATTAACTGAAGAAGGCTGGTTTTTGTACAGTCTCGGTATAAATCAACATTTTAAGGAGATATCTAGCCTAAATCGGGGGGTGTCAAACATAAGGCCCAGGGGCCAGAATTGACCCAAAGACTCCGGTTCACTGGACAGCTTTGGATATTGAGAAGGACGGATAAAGACTTCCCCCATGGCTGTTCCTACTACACCAAAGTAATTAAACTTCTTGGTTAAATACTTAGTAGTATAGTTAGTTAAATACTGAGCTAAACTTCAGACTGTGAGAAAGGAGAGTTTCACTGGTCTGCATGACAGTTGTTTAGCCTGTTATAGGTAATGAAAAGACTGTCTTTGGCCTATATGCTGAGACTTTTAAGGTACCAGTTAATTCTGATTTATGTATTTTTCTAACCTTTTTTTTTTAACAATATCAGGACTTTGTGTTGATTTCTAAAAGCAAACTCAGTGTAAATTAGAGGAAACCTCAGTGCAGTCGAGCACTGAGCAGCTCCAGCAGAGCAGTTGGAGGTTTAGCAAAGAGAGTGTTTTCTTTCATCCGTCCAGATTTTGCCTGTTTATCTGGTGATTCAAACCGGGTCCTCTTTAAGCTTTAAGCCTCCCGCGCTGTTATTGAGGTTTCTGCAGCCCCCACGGCATCCATCTGCCGTCACCCGATGGACTTGAAATGAACTTTTAGCACGATCAGCTTCCTCATAGTTCTGGTCGAGTCATGACTATTCACTTATTTTATTTGGTCATGACCCGACGCCGCTGTATGCTTTTTGTGCCGGACCATATGGCCCCTCTAACCGCTCTGTTAGTTCTTAAACAGCTCCACTGCGCTGCCTTGCACAAGCAGAGACAACGGCTTAATTTAACCGCAGTTATATCAGCAGCGCAGTGTGCTCACAATCTAATTACCAAAGCTGAGGGAGTTGAGAAACAGACTGGCGTTTTTCTTTAGCCTTTATTACCCTGTCATGGTGTTTTAGCAGAGGAATAGCACTCTTGGTGTACTTTATGCTGCCAGCTTCCAAATTAACTCATTTTCTACACCAGGCAGTGCAAAAAGCAGAGACAGATGCTTGTTTAGTCAAGCCACCCCGGTCTTTAATCTCTCTTTCACAGACTCATAGATTTAAAAAGTAACATGTTTTTAAAGGTGGTAACACCATGTTTGTTTTTATTTATGGAAATGCCACTGTGGTGTGAAAGTAATGTTGTTATTTAAGCACTGCAGGAAGAGGTTTGAGAATATTAGCTACTGGGGATTCATTTAGCTGCTGAACAAAAAGCAGAACAAGTAAAGTGACCTTGATTGTCGGAGTGAAGCAGAGAACTTCCTTTCCTGGCACACGATCGCATGTGTAATGTTTTTAGTCCAGCGGTGAACATCCGGTTTGTGCTGTGGGGTAGAGCGATGTGCGCTAAATGGTTGGTAAATGTTTTATTCCGATGAGGATTCATCTCATCGGGTAGGATGGACGGACTGTAGATGAAAAGGGTCATCAAAGAGCCCTCTGACCCGGCCGCTGCCTGCAGGATTGACAGGAAAAGGCCAATCTTTGTATTCCTGTCCTGGTCTCTGTTTGCCAGAAAAGTTTTCCCTTCATTCAGGAGCGATTCCGGTTTATGGTGGCTATATTGTTCTCGTCCATAAACAGAGGAAGGCAGCTCTGGCCACAGCCATCTGTCTTTTTAAAGATTTATTTCAGTGAAAACAATGAAGCTTTAATAGTTATGGTTTCCTTAAAGAATAGTCTCCACCATTAGCTAAAGCGTCTGCATCACGTCAGTGTTTTTCTGAACTCCAAAAACTTTATGATCTAGTTTATGGCAGCACGCCTGCTTTAACCTCTTTCTTGAAAGCTCTGTGACAATCAGGTAGATTGAAGCAGAGGTTTTGGCAAAAAATTAGCACGTAAGGAGAACTCTTTTAAAGCACAGTCACACTGTTACCGTCAAATAAATAACTAGATGGGAGTAAATGTGGGAAAAATATATTCTTCTGCATGTCCCCAATGTCTTTTCCTTTGCTCTAAATGAATAAAATCCTTGGAAGTTTTATCCTCTTAATGTGAAGACTTTTTAACAAACAAGCAAACAAATTTGTTTTCTGCTTCCTGCTTCATGCTGATTTTATTTTAGTACAGTCATATTTTTTTTATGTCCCTGTAAAAGTAGAAATTAAAGGAATGACCTGAGTTAACCAAGCCTCCTACATCGGCTAGTTTCCTGTGGAGCCTTAACTCTGTGGTTTTTCCCTCCCCTCTCAGGTCCTGACTGCTCCGTCTCGGTTCCTGCCAATTCCTCTTTTTGGAGCCGAGAGGAGTACACCGAGGCCGGGCTGGCCAGGGCTTCCCACAAGGCTGTAGTTGAGCTGGGCGTCATGTGGGTCATCGGAGGCTACGTCTTTAATGCCTCCGACTATCACATGGTCAAAGCGTAAGTTGACTCCCACCAGCGAACATCTTCGCTTTGATTTGTAGGCATTGGCTGCAGCTCTCGTCCAAAAGAGCTGCGAGACACTGGTTCTCCTTGTTGCTATGCGACTGCAGGGTTTGTTCTTTTCAAACACAGTGTCTTTTTTGGAGAATATTTGAGTATTTAAAACTTACGCCCAGTGTACTGAGGGCTAAAGCTGTACTTGGCTGTCAGGAAGAAGCCGCAGGACTTCCCGCCTCCTGAAAATCGACATGAAGAAGAACACAGCTCCGTACAGACAGTGTGTCTTGGACACAGACGGCATGTAATTAAAACCATAAAATTACAGCACTGGCTCAAAGTTATCACCCTGAACTCCACCCAGGACAATCACACACATGCCCTCGGCTCAAGTTTTGGTTTATTAGATTGCCTGTAAGCCAAGGTGTGGTTTTTTTCTTCGTCTTTTTTTTCCCTAAACTTAGGTCATGTGAAACTATAAATGATCATTTTGTCCGCCTTGCACAACCTATTTAATTGAATTAGAACACATATATAATCCCCCTAAGTGTAACTAGTTACCTTGTACCCAGTGTAACAATGCTTTCTTACTGTTATACCTGAACATAAGATCCACTTTGATTGCTGGCCTACTGTCAGGCCTTGGCGATCCAGATATTTGTTATACACTGGTATCTGTCAAAGGTGCTGCAATCTTATTTTAATTATTTATTTATTATGACCCTTGAGTTTCCAAAGCAGAGGTCCTAAAACACTGAACTACCAGGTTGCCTAAACAAGCACACATTCCTCAAATACTGTCGAATTTTGGAGATTTATTAAATCAAAGCACGTTAACATGTGAAGACTTGAAGCCTTATGTTTGCTTGCTCATCTAATATCCTTTGCTTTACAGTAAAAGTCCCTTAAAGTGATGTTGTAACTTGGCTCTATATGACAAAAAATGATTTGAATTCAACATTTGGTTTCTTCAAAACTCAAAATGTCACGAACCGTGACAAGATTCGAAACAAATATCGTGGGATTGAATGAAGCGATCAGTTTATATTCCGAAGGCCGTCTTGCTGCGATGCCCTTACGTGCTGCAAAAACATTGTTTGGCCAGTACTACAACAACATAAGTCAGGAACAGAAGGAGAGATTGATGTAAAACTGGAACTTAAAAGGCTGGCAGAGGCAAAAGCAGCGAGGCAGTAACTCTAAACTGTTTGCTGCAGGGCCGGCATTTACGATCACACTTTAAATCAGCTAAATGCATAATCTCATGCAGCGAGTCAAGTGATTAATAGAATCTTTGCTGTGCTTTGTTTGGTTACTTTGTGAAAGACTTTAAAATTGTAAATGAAAGTGTTCAAAGCGAGCTGGGAAATCCTTCTGTAAATCTGAGCAAAGCCGCTTCTTCGTTCCTGCAGGTATAACGTCAGCAGCAAGACATGGATGAGCCTCGACCCCTCCGTCAACACTGTCACACCACGATACGGCCACTCGCTAGCCCTGCACGAGGTATGTGAAGCTAAAGTCGTTGAAAGCACAAAGTGAGTGTATGCTCTTAACTACATCTTCGTACTGCGGTGCATTTTACAAATCTTACAACCTCCCTATTCTTTCTTTATGCCTTTTAGATAACCTTTTGTTATCTGCAGCTTGGATATAAATAAATCTCAGGGTGTTTTTATGCAGAAATAAGGCAGTTTACTCTCTGCAAAAAGACTTTTAGGGATTTCTGGTGGAATAATAACAAGAGGAGGAGGTCCATTGATGATTAACAAACAGAATTTAAATCATTTTAATTTACACGTCATGTACCATGACGTCATACTCTCAGGACATTACTCATAACGGATTTATAGAAAACTGCACATGATGCCTCAAAAGGTCTGTTTCGTTAAAATTATATGATGCATTTAAAAAAAAAAAATGTTTTGGCCTTTATGTGATAATAAAACAGTGAATACAGATTGGTAGGTGGGGAGAGAGAGAAGTGGAAGACACACAGCAAAGGGCCATAAGCCGGACTTGAACATGGCCACGTGTCATATGGTTGAGCTAAACTGGCTCCTGCATTAAAATAAAATTCCCAACTTGGCTGCACCTACGTAAATGTTCATCATGTCTACTTTTAGTCTGGAGCCAACACTGTCAAATGGCCTGCTCTTAATTTGAAGAGCCATTATTCTGTGTGACCTCCAGGCCATCTTCAGCTTATTCATAGGAGAAGGCGAAACAGCAGTAGGCGTATTGTTATTTTTGTTATATCAAACAAGACATGAAAATAGTCATCAATTTGCTGGATTATAATAATTCTTCTTATATGTAACATGCAAGCGATACAGACTCTGTAGTGTTGTTGCCGTGAGTTATTCCAGTGAATTATAAGAAAGTTTAACTTAATTTGTTAGCAAAATTCTGCAAAAAGTCTTTGGAGTGTGCATATAATCCTGCTTCACTCTTTGTTCCCTCCAGGGTAAGATCTACATGTATGGCGGAAAGATCGATGCTACAGGAAATGTCTCGAGCCAGCTGTGGGTTTTCCACATCCAGAATCAGACCTGGGTCCTTTTAAGCCCCAGGGCCAAGGAGCAGTACGCCGTGGTGGGACACTCTGCCCACATTGTGCCTCCTGTCCACGAGGGGGACGGTCCCGTCATGCTAGTTCTGTTCGGGCACTGTCCTCTGTACGGTTACATCAGCCAGGTGCAAGAGTACAACATTGGTAGGTTTTAGGCACTTGTGAGAATGTGGTCAAACTAAACTAAAAATATACATGTTTATGAAAAGAAAGTGAAGATGCTTAAGAGGTCTCGTCGTCATCTGAGACGCAATCTGCCTGAGAAAACTGGGTGAATTCAATTGCGGCTGTGGCTGATGGACGAGCACATTTTAAACTTGGATGTTATCTTTACCTGAGCTATCAGCAATAAGAAGTGATGGCAGTCTGCTACGTCTTTCACACACTGCAAAGCCCAGCAGTAATGATCTCTAGTAAAAACTCTTGTATTTGAGTATTTCATTACATTGTGAAAACTTGAATTTAGATTTTAATTGTCCAGTAAAATCCTATTATGTGACCCTCCAGCCAAGAACACATGGAGCATCGTGTCCACAGATGGTGCCCTGGTCCAGGGGGGCTATGGCCACAGCAGTGTGTTTGACCCCAGCACCAGAGCCATCTACATCCACGGAGGCTACAAAGCCTTCAGCGCCAACAAGTATGGCCTAGCAGGAGACCTTTACAAGTTTGATGTGGGCAAGAGGAAATGGTGAGAGATTTTCTGTTTTGTTATGAAATATGCTTGCTTAAATGCTACAGTAGCAGGGTTTTCACACATGTACTGCACCTCTGATCATACCCAGCACAGTTACGTGCGAGAGTGCAAGCAGTTGGATCGAAAATATGCAGTCAAACTACAACCTCCTGAGTACAAAGTCGGCATGATGTGAATGTGTGGGTGTGTGAAAATCCCAGGTAGCAGTCTGGAGCATTTACAGCTAGCAAATGTGCATGACGTGTCCTGCCTATGTGCACGCTGTACCGCAAAAGTTTTTTAAGTAGCGTGAACACGTGTGGAGCTGGCCAGCAACTGCGGAAAATATGTCGACCTGATAAGCCCCCAAATTATTTTTAATTATCACTTTCCAAACCTTTCACTGTAAGGATATACAGGTACTTAAATGCCATTTACGTTACAGTAATAACTTAAATGCACTGCCTTCTTTTACTGACTTCCCTTTTTCTTCAGCTGATACCTTTGTAAAAACTATTTTGGTAATCAGCACTTTGACCTTGCAGAGATTTCGCCTTATTTTGATAGAATTAGTCACAGAAGTGCCGCGCAGCCTTCACATGTCTAAACCTCTGCTAATGGCAGGAGGTTGCACTCTGCGGATGAAGCATCTTTGAACAAGCCAAGGTTCAACATTCAGTACTTAAGGCAAAGTTTGCATGTGTAAGGAAAACAAACTTAACTCTCTTGAGTTACAAAAAGCGTTCACGTGACGACATTTTAAAATGAAACTCGCTGGTGCTCTGAAAATAAGGGCCGTGTGGCGTTCAAGTGCTTAACAACAATCCAAACTGTGGCTGTGCAGGACCATTCTGAGAGACAGCGGCTTCTTCCGGTACCTCCACACAGCAGTGATGGTTAGTGGGATGATGCTGGTGTTTGGTGGAAATACCCACAACGACACCTCCATGAGCCACGGCGCCAAGTGCTTCTCATCGGACTTCTTGGCCTACAATTTAGGTCAGTAACACACACAGACTTTTTCCTTTCACTAAGGCTCTTTGCTTACACCCATCTACATGCATTCACACCTGAGAGCTGCTTAGTACAGCGGCAGGCTTCTTGTTGTCACTAGGAAGCTCCACTGGAGCAACAGAAGGTCAGATTTTTGCAACTTGCAGACTCAATAAAAACGCATCTTCTATTCATAACTGGAATAAAATAATAAATAAATACTCATAACGAGATGTTGTTAAGCTTTCCAGCACTGTGGTGTTTTTGTCATATTCACACTAGTATTATTATGCTGGATCTTGGTATAAAAAGAGAGAAATTAAAGCTAACTGAGAGAGTGAAGGTGCTTTTTGACTTCTCACTTTATTTATGTGCATAACAATCCTGTTCTTCATAATTCTTAATGCTTTGGAAAAGCTGAATCCTGTGGGGTTTTGATTTCAAAATATTTATTGTTCCTCCAGATAGCTTTTGATTTTCACCGTTTCAGAAGAAACACTTTGCTTTAAATTACCAGTCGAATGAGTTGGCGCTTGGAATTACTCCTCCGCTAAGGTGAGAGCTCTGGCAGAAGTACGCGATACGCACTCTTTGTTTGTCAGCGAGATCAAAAACTGCAAAACTGCAAACGATATTTCATTAAAACTACCTGCAAAGGGGGAGCATAGGAAGAAGGGGAAAAAAAGAAACGATCCATAAAGTTTTGATGTGGCTCTGGATCATCTTTAAAAGGTGAAAATTGGGAATTTGCCTTGGCTAGGGATGCAAACTTTGTCCGTTTGCCCAGACAGTTAGTTTGTTTCTTGAAGTTCGGGCTTTTGAAATAATATCGCCTAAGTATTTGGAAGCTTCTAGCTCATTTCAACATGACGGTATTAGGAAGTCTGTGGTGTTAGCCCCGCCCCTGGAAGGGTGAGCACGAGCAGGTTTTGTTTTGTGTTTTCTTAAACACCTGACATATGTAGTTAATTGTTGTCGTCTGGGATTTTTCTCAGACGCAGTCATACTGGTTTACCAGTGATTGTACTGGAAGGCACACAAAGGTGTTTACTGCAGTTCGTGTTGCAAAAAAAGAGCCACTCCTCTTGAGTGGCTTTAAGGGCTTTCCTGGACAAAACGGGAAGTCGCCCCCAGTAAGATCCAATCCTCTAACCCAGCGGTCCGCAGCCCCGGACCCGGGGGCTGGGGACGGAGTCGTTTGGTACTTCGCTGCGAGAGTTGAGGCTTGGGTGTGAAATTTATGGTTCTCAGGGTTTTCATCACTAACTCTGTTTCCCTGGGTCTTTTCCTGTGTTGTAGTTGTGTGTATTATTTTGAAAGAAATATTTACGTGATACCATAGCGACCAGAGAGAGGAGGACGTTACTCTCAATGTTGTTGGTGCATTTCAGGAGGACGCTGCTAATAAAGTTACACAATTATACAGTGAATTTGCGTTTAATATTATATTTACAAAATACCACAGTTTTTGTCTTGGTCGTATCATTTTATTTTGTTGTATTTATCCGCGACACCTTAAAGGCCGGTCAGTGAAAACATTGTCTGACATTAAACCGGTCCGTGATGCAAAGGCTGGGGCCTGCTGCTCCAACCTACCTGCTGTGAGGGAGTTATGATATTAAATCAATTTTTAATTAGTGTGTCTGATGTGCACTTCTCATACAAATTAGTGACATAAAGGAAAACCTGGGCTTCAGGGTTGAAAACTAGCAAGTTCAATTTTATGGACCTTCCCCTCCAAGCTGCTCTGTGAGGATTTCAGGGTGTCTGTAAAGCAGGGTGGGCATTCCTACTCATACCTTTGGGGACATAAACTATATTTATTCGTGTTTATTCATGCAGTCTCTTTTCTGAATGCTATGTTGCAATTCTTCGGGATACCTTAGGTTTGTAAATTATTACTTGACAGCAGAGCCCCTGTGCAGACTGCTGGCAGAGTAGAAAATCAGATTTCTTTCCTTTTACAAGTAAAATACTGAGATCAGAGTTGATTTTTGAGAACTAATTATAATCCTGTTTCAAGTTCTCCTCTTTGTCCTAATGTAAGCTAACACAGCTTTGTCACAAACCATCCCGGCTTCCTCATTCTGTTAACTGCCTATAAACGTTGTCATAAATTGAGTCTGCCTCCTTCCGCAGTGCCGTCGCAAGCTGCTCATTAATGAGAGACTTCACTCTCTCCGGATGGGAGAATTCCCCGGAGGCAGAAAATTGCCCCGGGACATGTGAGGGTTTGCTGTGTCATTTCCATCATGATTGACAAGCAGTGAAACTATCTCTCAGGGGCACACACACAGACACACACACACACGTCCTCCGATCTCTCACAGCTTTTGTTCTCGAGAATTGCAGGTTCGGACTAAGACATCCCTTTGTGGTATGAAGAACGGATGATGAGGCAACATGTGCCACATATGTTTAAGTTACCGCATGCTGTGTCTTGCCTGGCGAAATGAGACTAGCTCATCTGACCCTGGCGACAAATTGTTTTTGGGATTTCCCCAGAGATTATTCGAGCCAAACTTTTAGATTTAATAAACTTTAAGCCCACCAACCCCTCCCCTCCTTGTTTCTGACCTCTGCCTGCCACTCCTCATCCTCTCTATGATTTTGTAATTGGACTGAAAGTACTAGCTCACTATATTACTCCAGCACCAGCCAGCTGTAGGGTCGGTGTCAGCAGCCGCAGTGGTAATTAGAGTCAAGATGGCCCCGCACCGAGAACTAATTGTCTCTCCTTAACAAGCTGAACTCAATTAGAGCATAGAATTCAAGAGCTGTCCACTGTCCTGACATTGGTAAATCGTGTTGTAACATAACCACCGTGAGGGGCAATGCACCACACCAGCTGCAGTGCCATCCTCTGACACCAGAGGGCACTGTCTGCTCGTGAACGTGGAGCTCTCACAGATGTCCGTCCATCTCCTCTGGGAGACTATGATGACTTGCACTGCATTGTACCGTGTGAATGTGATTTACCACAGTCACTGTGCTGGCTTCTTTAGGCTTTGACTTTCAAGCTCATTCTTTTTTTTCCATTAAGATTTTATAGCTGCACATACTGCTGCTGCTTTCCATTAAAACAAACATAAAGGAATCAAACCATTCAGTTATTCATTTACCTGCTAAACACCAATATAGAAATTTAGAGGTCATGACATCACGGCGGCTTTCCAGTGGCTGAATTTCAAACTGTAGGTAAGTTGCAGTAAGAATAGAAACATTTCTCCTTTGCTTCATTTTATTAGTTACTAGACAAACAAGTTGGGTAGCACTAGTTCGGATAACAACATCCATATGTGTAACTTCAGACTGACAGATCTGCATATGAATATGCAAAATCTGTGGGTCTGAAGCTTTCTGAGAGCCTAATCGTTTAACAGATTGTGAATTCTTCCACCTGCAAATTGCAGAAAGGACCCAGAATAACTTGTTAGTGTGTCGCAGGTTCAAAACACCCTATTGCAGTTTCCACCACCAAAAATGGAAAGGCCAGGCTTAGAGACATGCAAGTCAAATCCAGGGATACCAGTTCAGACTTCGTTTGAACCATCAGACTGTTGGAAATTGGTCACTTACGTCTGCTTATGTGGGTCAAACAAAACCATCACTGACTCTCTGTCCCCTTCTGCACCTTTTACCTGCCTTTACATTCAGCTATGGCATTCCACTACCTGTGATCAGTGTCTCAGTCACTTCGGCCATTAGCTTGTCTGACACGAGAAGATGAGCCTCGCTAACCACCCAGAGCGTGTCAGCGGAGTTTGCCACAGCTGAAGACATGTATGTTATAACGAGTGGGAGCAGGTGAAGGGTTTAACTTCTGTCTTCTTTTCATTGCAGCGTGTGATGAGTGGACAGTCTTACCTCGACCGGACCTGTACCACGATGTCAACCGCTTCGGACACTCTGCAATCTTCAGTGATGGGTAATCTTTAATTAATTACGTAATTGAAAACTCACCGGATTAAAAGTGGAAAATCCTCTGCAGTACATATATGAATCTCATTAAACATGAGCTCCTGTATGATTTTTCTTCTTCACTCCATTCCTTTCCTGTTTGTTTTATTTATGATCGCTGTGGACTTGTTAGATGGATGATGGAACAACCACAAAACATCAGCAGAGAGGAAATGAGGAACGCAAAAACGTAGAAAGCTGCCGTTTGTTGTCGAAAAACGATTAAAAAGGATTGTTAAGAAAGAGAAGCTGAATTCATGAATGGATGCTTTGGCATTCAGAGTGACAGTTGAGAACAGAACAAGAGATTTTCAAGTATTGGCAGCAGACTTTTTGATAAAAGGGAGTCCTCAGAGTTCCTTTGTTGGCTTAAACCCTTCAAATACACGTCCTTTGCTTGATAGGGGACAATTGCAACACACGTGGGGTTATTGTTGCTTCTTAAATTGTGTTGAATTTATGGTGTAGCATAAGGAAATGGTCTTGCACTATGGCAGCACAGAGCGGGGACAAAGGGGAAACACTTGAAGCAAAGGAAAACGAGCAAACAATGCATCACAGGGAAAAATCAAACCCTTGTTGCCTTGGGAAAAGCTGTGTGGATCCATACATGACATTTCATTATCAGTCTGCAATATGAATAGATTGTGATGGGGATGGTGCTGCGAGCAGAAGCGATGAGTCATCACTAAATATGATCTGCTCTGCCAGCAGAGCAAGACGCTGCGATCCATATTAAATTATACATCCTGTTGTATAGAAGACATTAAATATTAACATTAATCACTACCCCTGTTTGGGGCAGTCCTTATATTACTCATGACTCCACTTCCTTGGGAGCAGTTCAAAGTTTGTTCATGCATTCATTAACTGTTCGAGTTCAGCGCAATCAAAAGTTCACAGCAGTTGAACTGAGCGGTATTTTTTTAAAATGTATTAAATGACGATAAGCAAGTTTACGAGAAGCCGTAATAAGGTTTAAAAAAACAGGCTCTACTGCTGTAGTCCTTAATGTCAGGTTTGAGTTGTTATATTGAAGACAGAGACTGATGTACCTGCTCCACATTAACTTAAGTACTACAGCAAAACTCTCCAAGCATCCTTTGGTCTGAACTTTAAAGTAAAGGATCTGCATTTGCTTTCAGGCCCCCCCAAAAAAACCTGGCACAGTCTTTCCTTTGAACTGTGTCTTGCTATCTCAGTTTCTTTAAATTCTCTGTTAAAAAAACAGTTTTCATAATATTTTTGAAAGAAAATGATTGGGAGGGAAAACACACGCTTTCACTATCCGTAAGACTTTTTCTCTACAATGACTCACATCTTTTAAATGAGAAGAAAAGAAAGTGGTTAACTGATGTAGTCCCCTGCAAGACTACCATGTTCTCCTCCTCCCGATCTAGGCACTCAGCAGGATGTCCTCAGCGTGCAGTTTGAAGTGTGCCCTCCACGATCCAGTGGAGTGGGGGTGGCTTTTGATCAGACTTGTGCAAATTACCCATCTACCCGGCCGGGCAGCCTGTGAATGGGTAATTGGTGGATGAGTCTGAGAGCATGCATACGCTTAGGCCCACGCTCGCAGAGTAATCCCAGTAGCTGAACATAGGCCAGTGGAGAAACATGTTCAGAAACGACCTGGACCCATCATCAAAATGCACTCTAACACGCGCACAGTAGGGGGTCCTGTCAGGTCCATCTGCACAGGAAGAGAGCGCTTGTTGGGGATTTAGCAGACTTGGCAGGTTGAAGCCCAGAGAAGAGGAGGATCACTTAGAGTGTGCAAAAAGGGTTGAAATTGGGCAAAATAGTAGGGAGGAAATTCACTTGTCTTACTTCCTGAATCCCTTCCCTCCTAACATCTATTTCACCTGTAGTCCTCTAATTCTTTTCTTGTGTTCTCCTGCAGCGTTATGTACGTGTTCGGTGGCTTTAACAGTCTACTGCTCCGCGATGTCCTCACGTACACCTCGCCCAGCTGCTCGGCCTTTTCCAGCCCGACGTCCTGCAGCCAGGCCTGGCCAGGAATTCACTGCGTGTGGAACGCCACCCAGGAGGCCTGTCTGCCTTGGGAAAGCGACGTTATCGGCACTGAACAGCAGCAGCAGCCCTCCTGCAACACGAGATCATGTAGGTGACGCTGCAGTTGCATTGAAATGCCGCACGGACGTGACACGTGAAGCTAATCCAAGATAATTTGGGGTTCTCGATGCTTTCCTTCAGTGTGTGCAGAACTCATCTGCATTCGCTTCACTGATGTCCGATGAGATGCATACGCTGCCAGAAACGGCTTGTTTGTCATGGGCTGCCAACACAGTTCCTCACATCAAAGAGGGAAAATGAGCGAAAAAATATGTCACCTGGGTGTTTTCCTCTGTGTGTGCTTGTGCGTGTTTGTGTATGTGTGGTAAGTTTTGGAATGTGGAAAATATGGCCCTCATGCATCATCCAGAAACATACAGTTATACCTATAACTTCTGTTCCCTGAAGGAGAGGAATGAGGTGCAACACATAAGTATGGAACATATATATGCACCCCATAGAGCAGCCATCAAACTGGAGTCGGACCACCAGCATCACCAGTGTGCAGTAGACCCAGCACAAAGAAGCGGGACAAAGCGGGATCCTTGGTGCTGTATGCCAGTGAGATAGCTTCTATAATCCAGTGGGGCAGCCTCTGTTTAAACAGGGGGGTCTACCTGTAGTCGGATTAGCGAAGCAGACAACTGGTCTCATAAAAGCACATTCTGAGTGCTCTTAATGTTTGTACATAGCACACGTGCATCCTCTTCTGCTTCTTAGATGCAAAAGAAGAGGAGCAAAAGCTCAGATGCTCAAATTCCATTGAGCTATAAGATGCAGGAATGACCTTGGGTAAACATGCCGCATTCGGGTACAATACGACCCTGAGGCCATCAGGAGAGAACTGTGTGCAGGAGGGATGCACAGACAGAGCGTGAAGGTCACCTACTCGCTTTTCAGAAGCCAATGGGAGAACCAGTGCAGTCTTATATGAAAGAAATTTTGTATACATGGACTCGGTGGGTTCAAAGGGGTCTACAAGGGGGCTCCAGCACCAAAGACCCATGCAGGGACACTGAACCTAACCACGGGTCTCGGGCGGCAAACCCTTTTACAAAAACTTATGACAAGGAGATGTGCAACCCAATCAAAACCAATAAGATGAGCAGATATTGCTGAATCTCCTGCAGCAATGTCAAAATATCCAGAATAGACCACTGGAATGGAGGATTGCTTGAAGGTCTGGTTGAGGCCCTAGATTGTTGCTACTATGCTTGCTTATCTATCACATTAGACCTCTCAGCAGGTAAGCATGAAGGCGCCAGATCCGGGCGCGGATGAACCACTTCTCCTCCCACCTGAGAGAGGAGGTCCCTTCAGAGATGAAACTGCCAAGGCCTTGGTGCTAAAAGACTCATTATATCCACATCCATCAAGGGGCCACTAGAATCAGAGAGAGCTGCTGTCGACACACTCTCTCTAGAACTGGAGATATTATTTCCGCTGGGGGAAATGCATACAGGAGCACGACTGGCCACTGGTGCACTAGTGCAAGCATACTATGTAGATGATGAGCTATTCAAGGACTTCACCATCTTATGTTGAGAACATTCTGATTGTTGTTGACAGTTTTTTGCTAATTGGAGAACCTCTGCCCACCTTCTGAGAAACTCTGGCAGTAAAAACAGGAATTGACCTGGTGCTAATTCAATTAATTAGTTGCAAAAGGTCCCACCGGCTGTTTCATTTTAGGACCACTTACTTTTTTACTTTTACTTTTTACCAGTCTTTTTTTTTTTTTTTTTTTTTGCCTCCGTTCCAACTTTTTAAAGATGTATTGCTGCTCAAAATTAGCTAATATAGTAGTACATTTTCCCAATTTCAACACTCATTATGGTTTCTGTTTTCTCTACCAAATAAAATCCTGGATTCTGTTTTTGTTTACATTTTGTGTGATGTGCAAATGTGTTTGTTTGGTTTTTAATTACATTGAGGTTTTATTACATTTTGATTTCTAATTATAAACATCCCCCAACGCTAACACTCGTGACACTGATGCACCCACACACAATTTCTTACATGTGAGCGTGCGTGTCAGTGAGGTAATCACGAAGGACAGTCCAGCCTTCTCTCTCTGGTTCCTGTTGAGAGTTGTCTTCCGTTTGTTTGTCAGTTGTCACACAAAGAGGAAAACCCAGAAACATCAGTCTTTCTCCTCGGCACGGCTGTCTTATTTTCCGGTCTTGCTTCTACAGCAGTGCTGGCAGATGGAAACCGCTCCATGGCATCTCTTTCCGGCACATTAAATACAAGGGATGCGATCTGGCAGTCAACACTGGATACCCCGAAAGAGACGGCAAATGTTTTGACTGAGCTGTGGTTAATGGCAGAAACAGAGTTACTGGTTGCTTTGACTTTTGAACTGACTGGAAGATTTCTGTCTCTGTTCTTATAAATTAAAAAAAAAAAAGTGCACCCTGTTCTACATTTTGCAGACGGTGATGCTGAGAGATGTGACCAGTATACCGACTGTTACAGCTGCACTGCCAACACCAACGGCTGCCAGTGGTGTTCGAGCCAATGCGTGTCTCTTGGAAGTAACTGCACCTCTGCATCGGTAAGAAAACTTGCTCTCCACCCTGCCCAGAGCATTTGGGGACATCGCCTCTAACTGTGTTACATATAGGAGCTGAAGAGGTGCTTCTTATAACCCTGGGAGGATCCAGAAAGCAGGATATATCAGGTTGTAGAGAAGGGGCCTGCTGGGCTTACTGCCTGCAGTCACCTCATTGCTTGGGGGAGAAAAAACCCTTTGTTGGACATTAAACACACAAAGTAATGGTTTTGTTGGACACCAGTGGTTTTTCTGCAAGCTGCAGAACTTCACAATCTGATGTTTACATGCGTGGATGTGTATTCACTTCAGCAAACATTGCCAACTAACATTTTGTTGCCACGCAAGCCGAGTGCAATTTTGCAACTTATTGTAATACATGAATAGGTAGTGTTGTTATGATCTCGAGCAGTCAGAGGCTCTTTGAAGCACAGAATAATGAATGCTCAGACACAATAGTTTCCTGGAGCCAATTCCAGTGCAGCTTCACTAATTTTGGCAACTTTTTGTTGCTTTCAATGGACTGAGACAAACTTTTTCCATTTTTCTCCAAAGGTTATTTCATCTTAAAACACACATCAGAGGGAAAAATACAGCCTGTCTCAGTCCAGCCCATGTGTCCTTAAAAGAAATCAAAATAACCCTGATCCCTAGAATCTGAGTGCTTACATTATGTTAATGGCAAATTACTTTTTTGAGTCTACACTCACTGCCATGCAACAGTGCTCCAGAATAGGACGCTCCATGTATGCGTGCAAACGAACCTTTTTGGGGATTTTCTGTGATGGTCAGTAGCACCCTACACACACCTTTCCATCTTGCAGCTCTGTTATAATGTACACTCACTGCACCTGTTCAGCTGCTAGGTAATGCAAATATCTTAGTCTGCCAATATAACTGCAAGCTACTCAATGCATTTAGGCATTTTAGACATGATCAAAATGACCTGCAGAAATTCAAAGTGAGCATAAGCGTGTGAGTGTGTTTGAGTGATTTGAGGAACTTTGAATGGCATGTTTGTATGTAAAAGATCCAGTGAGCAGCAGTTTGGGCAAAAATACCTTGTTGATGCCTGAGGTCAGAGAACAGAGGCCACACTGCTTCGATCTGATAGGACCGCAACAGTAACTCAAATAACCAGTCGTTAAAACCACGGTGGTGTGGCGTAATGGTGTTGTTGATATTTTCTTGGCACGCTTTAGGTTCATTCATAGCAAGTGAATATTGTGTGGATGCCAAAGCCTTACCAGAGTATGGTTTCTGATTATAATCATGTGCACACGATGTGGTCCTTTTATGACTACAGTGTTCTCATCATCTGATGGCTGCTTCCAGCAGGGTATCACACCATGTCACAAACCTGAAATGATCTCAATCCAGTGTACTCAAGCGGCCTCCGCAGTCATCAGATCTCAGTCCAATGGAACATCTTTGGAGTGAGGTGGAACAAGAGGTTCACAGCAGCTGTGTGATGCTGTCACTGTCAATATGGAATTAAGGCACTTAGTTCAACCCAGCACTCGCGGAGCCCAAAAATGTGTTTTCATCAAATGGTGATGCTGATATGTGCTGCGGTGGTATCTCAGCTTCTACAAGTAAAAACGTTTCATCCGTTCTTTCATTGTATGATTACCACAATGTATTTATTCATAATAAGAAGGTCAACATTAATATTTTCTTCTTTTTTATTGAAGCAGGTATGTCGAGTAATGGTTTTTACAGTTTGTCGTGAGTCCATATTTATAACATAATATAATGTGTTTCATTAGCGACCCGAGCAGTAAGATGTAGGCTAATTTAAAGGTTTATATAACATGTAAGTGGATTGTTTTATGTAAGTAATGTGGGGGGAAGAAAGAAGAAACGTTTCTAAGATAAAATTCTTGTTTAATAAGAAAAAAGGACTCGGGCTTTCTGTGCAAGCAAATATACTATTACTAAAATAATCAGCCATGTCTACTAAATGGATAGACTTGAGCAGAATTCAGTGCTTTGTGTGACAACTAATGAAACATTTTCATGTTTGCTGGATCTGGTTTGTCAATCTATGATCAGATTAGCCGCCGGCAGACTCGCACAGTTCAAATGTCTCTTTCAGCACTCTTATCTGCACAATATGTGAGAAATGAGTCTCAATATCTCTGACTTCAGTTATTAAATAATCGAATATTTAAATTCAAATAGCTGTGTTGTAGGAAAAAGAAGACTTTGATTTTTTTATTTTTTTTTTTTCCAGCGCATCCGAAGTTTAAATCTTTTTGAACAAATTTGAAAAGATCTGTCTGGTCCTCATATATCTGTTCCCCTTTATTCTGCGTGACTAATAAAAAATGTTTCCTTTCCTTTTGTTTTGTTGTTTTTTGTTTCATCTGAATGAATATCATTTACGCATCATGAAATGTAATTGTTTTGCAGTTTAGAGTCCAAAGTGTTGATGTCTGTTGTTTTCGGGTTTCTTTTCTCAGGGGGCCATAGCAGAGTATGAAGTTTGCCCCAAGGACAACCCGTCGTACGTGTGCAACAAGAAAACAAGCTGCAAGAGCTGTGCTGTGGACCAAAACTGTCAGTGGGATTCTCGCAACCAAGAGTGCATCTCGCTGCCAGGTAACAGGGATGCTTGGAAGAAATAAAGCAGTTTTAATTTGAAAAGATTACGACAACACACACACACACACACACACACACACACACACACACACACACACACACACAGGCAAAAGGCAACACGAATCATACTTAGTTTCTGAAATCTAGAGGTGCAAAACTGATAACAGAATTTAAATAGTCAAATATTGATACACAGCACAGATAAGCAGGAAGTGCTGAACAGATATTCACCAATTTTATCTCTCTAGTTATCAAACCCAAGTTAACTGTTCATATATCAGATAAAGTCTGTCAGAAGGAAAGTCACTCCTACGTGAGAGCCAGGGTACACCCTGGACAGGTCGCCAGTCTATCACAGGGCTGACACACAGAGACAGACAACCATTCACACCTATGGGCAATTTAGAGTTACCTATGAATCCCCACTAACAGAAAGACCCTGGCCTGATGTTGGAATTGAACTTCTTTCTGAGAGGCAACAGTGCTAACCACCGAGCCACCGTGCTGCCCCCTCTGAAATCTATTAAAAATAATTAGCCACATGCTACACAGTGATGAAAGCTCTGTTTTGGTGAATGACAGAAATATAGACTAAAAATATTACAGCCAACTGAAACTAAACTGGAAATTAAAACATTTTTAACTAAAATAAAAAAATAGATTTGTGAAGAAAAATTACAAATTTTACAAAATCAGTTGTGAACTTGGAAAACGAACAAAGAATAGAATTAAAAACACAGCAGAAATATTCTTGGTTTTAGTTTACAAGTTACCTGATGAGGCATTGATGGACATGTTTGAAACTTTGCATGTCTACAAGACGGAGACAACTGCTTTTTAAAAAGTTCTGTATTTTATTATAATACCTGTACTGCTTCTGACATACATAAACTGAAGGTGGCCAGTTTTTCCAGTAGATATACAGTCAGCTTGCATATTGCATATCAGAAGTATTGACGTCTACTCTCTCCCCTGCAGAGAACGTGTGTGGTGAAAGCTGGCACCTGGTGGGCAACTCTTGTCTGAAATTCATCACGACCAAGGACTCGTACGATAACGCCAAGCTGACCTGCAGGAACCACAACGCCGTCCTGGCCTCTCTGACCACACAAAAGAAGGTGGACTTTGTCCTGAAGGAGCTGCAGATAATGAGCGTGGTGGTAAGGAGAAGGGGGCGATTGGAGGGGGAAGTAGCCAGGATATTAATTATCGGATTAGAGAAAACGTGATATTCTCCTTGGGGAAATTGGGTCATCAGACTAGCAGAGAGAAAGATACCGATAAGACTTGAGATGCGCTGAGAGTGCCGGAGATAAAAATGGATAATTACAGCAAAAAGATCAAATCAGGCAATGACTGAAGAATGATACACTACTTAGACAACTAATGATGTCGTCTACAAAGAGCCTTCCTTGATATACAGTCTTGTTGAAGTAAGCGGATGTGGACACATTAGAAGACTAAATCAATAAGTTACACACGGGTTCAAAAGACCAGCACATCTGAAGTCCACTGTAAGAAAGATTTTTATTTCTCATGTTTTTCTCTGATTGATGAGCATAAATGGACTCTTGTGCCCTTTCTCTAGTTTTTGCCCTTGGCTGTCTTTTCAGTAGCTTTTGAAATCTTCTCTTTTCCTTCTTAATCTGAATGAGCTCTGGTTGGATTCTGTGTGTGTGTGTGTGCGTGCGTGCGTGTGAGAGAGATTTTTGAACCATTAAGTGTGAAACAAATCTCCCATTAACAGATCTCTTCCTCAGAGCTCAGACATCTCTTACTCGCTCCATTAGAGCACATGCACAAAAATCTATCCCTGCGATCAATCAACCATCGCAAGCTGCCGTCTTTATTCTGTTCACGTATCCGCAGATATGGACGGAGGATGGACCGGACGCACTGTTGGGTATCGGGTTGTAAAGTCTGAATTCAGTTTTTAAGTTAGTTGGGGTTAAACTTCCTTAGGTTTGTAAAAATTTGTGCATCTTACCAAGTTAAGCAGAAGATTTAACAGATGTTTTATCTTCTCCAATAGTAGAATTATCTGATTTTTTTTTTCCCCTTATTTTGAAATGTTTGACATGAAATGATTTTATTACATTTTGCACATTAAACCATTAAGAAATCAATCAGTTCATTCATAAATAGACGAGACGAAGATGTGTAGATAATACAAAAAGTATTTTGTAATATCAGGAAAGTCCCTACAAAAAAAGAAAAGAAAAAAGTAATATAGCTCTTTGTAGTTTCTAATTACATACCAAATGCAAATACTGCCTCCTTTAACTTAGGCCACCCATGCAAAAAAAGCGATCCTGCAAAGTGCCTTGCAGCCACCACACGGCAAATCTAATGCTGAAGCTAAATAAGACAAAAGGGGTCTAAATCACAAAGTCAGGCTGGAATTAAAGAAGTGTCTTTCATCCGTTCTAATGAAATCGTGTAGATTTCCCCTGCTGGTCTAAATTTGTTCTGGTGGTTGCTTTTCGGTAATCTTTGTGCTTAAGGGTAGAGAATAATGGAAGCTTAACCGCTCTGGAATAACATTGGTTTTCAATGATACGGGTGCAGAGATTTGAGAACAGGCTCCCTTGTTGTATTGATGGTGTACATCCAGTTCAGTAGTTCCAACGGTTTCCAGGCAGGTTTAATCAATCCGAGAAATGGCGATTGTATTCGATCTCAAAGGTACAGTTATCCCTCTCATGCCTGCGAGAGAGAGAAAAGTCTTTTTGTTTGCTACTATTGCAATATTAAAACCATTGATTAGAGATGAGTTGGATAACGGAGCTTCTCAAGTCAACTGAGGTAAAGCTGCCTTTATTGCCACTGCGCCTGGTGCAGTGTGTTGCACGTCAGAATGAATGAAAAGCTGCACTGACATTTTCTCTTTGTGTTGTAGTAAAAACATGTGTTTTGGAATTGATTTAGGTAAACTGATTTAATCTTCAGCATAAGTGTAACTGACGCTTAAGTTTGAGATGTTTTCCAGAAAAATCTGGCAGCAATCTGTTACCAAATTCGATCAGAGCAAAGAGCCATCGTGTGAAATCCTCCTTTGGTTTGGTGTTTACAGTACAAGGCCACTGTGACGCCGTGGGTAGGGCTCAGGAAAATCAACGTGTCCTACTGGTGCTGGGAGGACATGTCGCCGTTCACCAACACCACCCTGCAATGGCTGCCGGGTGAGCCAAGCGACGCCGGGTTTTGCGGCTACCTGGCCGAGCCGGCAGCCACCGGACTGAAAGCTCAAACCTGCATAAGCCCGGTGAATGGCAGCCTGTGCGAACGACCAGGTGAGCTCACTATGTTTATACACTCAACAAAAATATAAACGCAACACCTTTGTTACTGCTCCCATTCCCCATGGGATGGACGTAGAGACCTAAAATTCATTCCAGATACACAATATAACCATCCCTCCCAAACAGTGGTCACAAATCAGTCCAAATGTGTGGTAGTGGGCACATCTGCTATATTGAGATAATCCATCCCACCTCACAGGTGTGCCACATCAGGATGCTGATCTGACATCATGAGTAGTGCACAGGTGTACCTCAGACTGCCCACAACAAAAGGCCACCCTGGAATGTGCAGTTTTTTGCGCTATTGGGGGTCTGGGGACCCAGAACTGGTCAGTATCTGGTGTGACCACCATTTGCCTCATGCAGTGCAACACATCGTCGCATGGAGTCTATCAGATTGTCAATTGTGGCCTGTGGAATGTTGGTCCACTCCTCTTCAATGGCTGTGCGAGGTTGTTGGATATTCGTGGGAACTGGTACACGCTGTCGTATACGCCGGTCAAGCACATCCCGAACATGCTCAATGGGTGACATGTCCGGTGAGTATGCTGGCCATGCAAGAACTGGGACATTCTCAGCTGCCATCTGCCCTGAACAATGTGAACCATGATTCATCCGTGAAGCGCACACCTCTCCAACGTGCCAGACGCCATCGAATGTGAGCATTTGCCCACACAAGTCTGTTACGGCGACGAGCTGGAGTCAGGTCAAGACCCCGATGAGGATGACGGGCATGCAGTTGAGCTTCCCTGAGACGGTTTCTGACAGTTTGTGCAGAAATTGTTTGGTTGTGCAAACCAATTGTTCCAGCAGCTGTCTGGGTGGCTGGTCTCAGACGATCTTGGAGGTGAACCTGCTGGATGTGGAGGTCCTGGGCTGGTGTGGTTACACGAGGTCTGCGGTTGTGAGGCCGGTTGGATGTGCTGCCATATTCTCTGAAACGCCTGTGGAGACGGCTTATGGTTGAGAAATGAACATTCAATGCACGGGCAACAGATCTGGTTGACATTCCTGCTGTCAGCATGCCAATTGCACGCTCCCTCATTGCTTGTGGCATCTGTGGCATTTTGCTGTGAGACAAAACTGCACATTCCAGGGTGGCCTTTTGTTGTGGGCAGTCTGAGGTACACCTGTGCACTACTCATGATGTCAGATCAGCATCCTGATGTGGCACACCTGTGAGGTGGGATGGATTATCTCAATATAGCAGATGTGCCCACTACCACACATTTGGACTGATTTGTGACCACTGTTTGGGAGGGATGGTTATATTGTGTATCTGGAATGAATTTTAGGTCTCTACGTCCATCCCATGGGGAATGGGAGCAGTAACAAAGGTGTTGCGTTTATATTTTTGTTCAGTGTATTTTAAAGTCTTTTAATGCACATGTATTTTTACATAACAGAAAAAAGAAGTTGCATGCATGAGTAATGCCATGTCTAAGAACTAGCTGAAGAGAAAGGGTTTTTTTCCTCTGTAACCTTTCTGTCCGTTCTTGTTGAGGCTGCACAAGTAGATTGTCATGCCTGATGCTCATTTTTGTTGCAGATGCCTCATGTCTGCCTGATGAGGCTGTCATTAGGCTGATACTGGGTACACAAAAGGCAGATGGAGGCCTAAATGGATTTGTGAATAGCTATGAGGCTCATTATACCTCTTGCTGTAACAATGACACCTTTTAAAATTCACTTGTGTTCATTTCTCACCCTTTAAAATGAGCTTAAGAGACTTATAGCTGCTGCTTTATAATGCCCTGGAGTTCAGCAGAGGCTGATGTCCCACAGAGGCATCTGTGCTAAAAGAGTTTGTTGCATTTTACAGCCAACCACAGTGCCAAGCAGTGCCGGACACCCTGCGCCATGAGAACCACCTGCAGCGAATGCACCAGCAGCAGCAGCTCAGAGTGCATGTGGTGCAGCAACATGAAGCAGTGCGTCGACTCCAACGCCTATGTAGCCTCCTTCCCCTTTGGCCAGTGTATGGAGTGGTACACCATGAACACTTGTCCACGTAAGAGATCATTTTCCCGTTATTGCAATTCGATTTCATTTCATCTGCCTACATGTTATAAAAGTATAGCTCCTCAATAGTTTCACTGTTCCTCCCTTTTTTGCCCAAGGACTTCTGGCAAGCAGTTTTGGCCTGAGAGTCATTTCATGACCAAACAATCAAGATGAGAAACCAACTAACCACATTAAAGTGGGATTGAGGCTAAAACCAAGTTTTAAAACCTTTAGCCGTTTAATGTAGCCCTTCACAGTTTAAATTCTTAATCTCCTTTTAGTAATACTTTATTTAACAGAGTTATTTCTTAGAATGAAATATGTAATGAATTGAATTTCAAGGGGAGTAAAGGAGTTTCATTTAATTGCTCCACTTAATGACTAATTTATGTTTTAGTCAGAGCACAGCATGTTGGTGAACATGGGGAACAAAAACTTTAGTGAAATTTTCGGGTGGTTATTGAGCGTGCCATATGGGTGCAAATTGCCTGGTGTTTCCCATATTTCCTGTCTGATTTGACAGATTTATTATTATTTTTTTAATCAGTCATAAAATCATAAAGTGGCAAACAAATAATCTTAAGACAAAAGAAATGGTTCAATGCGTAGATGAGTTAGAAGAAGAGAGTGTAACATTTTAAAGCTTATTTCCTTATTTATCACTGCTGGGGGAGAGTGACTCTAAATGTAGGGAGCAGTAAAATTGGGCACCCTTACCGTCGTCTTTGCTGCTGCTAAATGTTTTGGATTCTTTTTTGGAGTCCGATCAGCGGTGCTGATCCTCGATCTCTGCGTCTCTCATTTAAAATCCCATTGATTGCACGTAAAATGTTTACTTTTAAGAGTTGCCAGCTCATGCCGGCTGCCCAGTCATTCTCCTACTTTGAACAAATTGCAGCTGCTGCCATAGCAAAAACACTCTAGAAGAAGAGCCCGACACTTGAAACCGTTGCAGCATTTCATTTAAAGCTCTGAAGCTGCAAGCAGCTACATGTATAACTACCAGCCCTTCAGTCACGATTCATTAGTTGCAATTTAAGAAACGAGGAAAACCCGGCGAAAAATAAAGCATAAATCTGAAATCTGTGTATGTAGTACTGTAGCTGCAGTTAATATACTCAATCATTCAAGCATATGCTGCTCTGGAGATCTTCACCAAATTTACAAAAAAGGCTTGTTGATTATTGGTCTGTAGAGTAGAGCAACTTTGGACTGCTAAATGGGGGGGTTAACCTCCATTTAGCTGAACAAATAAAATTGTAGCCCTCCACTGAATGGCGATGGGGATCGATAATCTGGTTTGATAGTTTGAAACCTGGTACTTTTTGGATTTCGTCTTTGCAGCAGAGAACAATTTTCTTTTATGAAACCTAGCAGGTGAATCAAGTTATTATAGCCATCGATGGATGAACTGCTCATGGGGCGAGAGATGGAAATTAAAGGCACACATTCATGTGCCATGTTGACTGATGATGATTACATGTTAAATGGTTATCCAGCTTATAGATAGCTTTTGAAACTCTCTTCCTTTCCAAATTAAGTGGAAAGGAAGTTTTTCTGAAGAAACTGTTTGACATTTTTTGACAACCACATTCTTGCCGGGCTATAGATGTGAAGATCAATCCAGCTGTCCACTTTGAAGCTAAAAGCAAAGAGGCTAGCTTTGATTTAAAGAGTGAAATCCGGTGAAACCAGCTGGCACGACCCTGCTAAAGGTCGAGAGCTAACATGATGTAACCTGTAATGTGTGAGGAGATTATATTATAGCCATTTCCCTCCAGTTCCAGTGTCTTAGCTTTATTTTAAGCTAACTCAAAAATGATCACGCTATCGCTTGCTGCTACTGACTAGTGTTTTATTCTCATATAAGCACAATTTTCTGAGTACCGGTATGTCGAGAATTCAGAGCTCTGATTGTTGAAATACTGATGGTTTTGTTTGTACCTTCCAACACAGAATCATTTTTAAAAGCCGTTTTTATTTTTTACAGTCAAAGAATTCAGAAATATAAATACCTTTTTAATCACCTGGTGCTGCGTTGTGTTTCACTTCAGCGGAGAACTGTTCTGGATACAGAACGTGCGGGCAGTGTCTGGATCAGCCGGGCTGCGGTTGGTGCACTGACCCCAGTAACACGGGCAAAGGTCAGTGCATCGAGGGTTCCTACCGCGGGCCCTTCCAGACCTCTGTCCCGGCCCCTTCCACCCTTCCTGGTCTGCCCGCCAATCCTCAGCCAGCCCTCAACGCCAGCATGTGCCCGAGCGAATCAAAGTACAACTGGTCCTTCATTCACTGCCCAGGTAGGAACGTAATCTAAGATATTAGTTATGTGACATTAAATGACATTCATGCAAATTAATTTCACACACACATGTTGTGGGGATTACAAAAATGGTTGTCTGTTAAATCTGCGTTGTAACAAAAACCTAAATGTGAATTTATCAGACAATAGGCATCCAAAGAAAGTATGTGTTTATGTTGCATTTTGGGAAAATGTGTTTCTGTATTGTCACTTTGGTTTATAATTGTTCCTCATTATGTGGTACAGACAGGCGGACTTGCATTTGAAGGAATTACTCACTTAGCTTAATAACTATAGTGATCTTCTCATCTAAAATGATTGAAATGCTGCTTTAAAGAGACTTCTGGCTGCTCTGATGCCTCTTATGACACACTCGAGCACTGGACAACAAACAGCGTTTTGTTTTTTTACATAAATTTACATAACTTTCTCTGCTCAGAATAATCTACTCATTCCTTCATGTTCTGTCTTTATCGTACCCCCCTCTCGTCTCGGGGTGTGATGTTTATGCAGTATGTTTGTTTACTCTTTTGCAGCTTGTCAGTGTAATGGTCACAGCCAGTGTGTCAACGAAAGCATCTGTGAGAAGTGCGAGGACCTGACAACCGGCCGACACTGCGAGAGCTGCATCTCCGGCTTCTACGGAGATCCGACCAACGGGGGCAGCTGCCAGCGTGAGTATCCGTGGGCCGTTCGGCACGACGCTAAATCAGCCAGTCGGTATTTCGGCACGAGGCTTCATTTAACTTGTCAGTATTTTACAGTCCATTTTTATGTCAGCCATTTCCTGATTCCTCGCTGCACCGTAAAGCCTTCCCAGGGATATTAAAGATTTACTCCTTTACAGCTAATGCTGACAGTCAGTCAGTCGGATAACAAATCAATTGTCTATTCCTTCGACAGGTTAATTTAGATTACAGGTATATTACAGCCACAGTGTATGTTGTGTGATTTTTACTTTTTATGCCTCCCTCTGGTATGTACATATATTTATTAAGTTCTGCGTCTGTGACAGTCAATCAATAACCTGTCCTGTCTCCATTCAGCATCGCTATCTTGTCAGCGTGCCCCCTCGGGGACATTAAAGGCATGCTTTACTTCACAGCTAATTGGTTTGACTCAAGAGGCATTATGTGGACAAGTAAAAAGTACACAGTCAGTGCCTCAAAATGGAGATTATTATCAAATAATCAAGATGACACGTGTGACTAAATGATGATAAATCATAAGGTGGCTCTTTTCTTCAAAGTCCCCCACTGTTAGCAGACTTGTATGTATTTCACAGCTGTTTCTACCAAAGGGGTGAGTCATTTTAAGAATGATAAATGAGGATGAATTAATATAAAGGATGATGCGCATTAATGTTTGTGCAGGCACCTTAAAATGGGTCTTTTAAAAATCACCAAGCCTAATAGACATTTCACACGTGTTCACATACAAGACGGTTCTCTCTTGGGAGATGGAAAGTTGTTCTTCTCCTGGAGAGTGCTGCCTCGTTGCGATGTGATGGGCCAGATTGCCATGACTGCTGGTGTGCCCGTGTAGTTAACATAGTTTCAGAGGATGAGGCCTTTTTTTTGAGTCTCTAGGTGCAGCGGCCTCATGGGAATCTTTGAGCTTTTCAGTTAGATTTCAAATCCTGGACTCACGTGCTTCGTACACCTTCCGAACACAATCCGATGATAGTGGTGGGAAAAACCGTTGCGTAGCCACCGTTGCAAATTATTGGCCACAAGCTAGCTTAAAAAGATGTAAGAATTAGATGTTAAGCTTTAAACAGCATGGGGAAGCTGAGAGGTGGTGCTGTGCAATGCTTTATTTTTTTAAAGCACAGATGTTAGAGTTGCACATACATGTATGTTCATGTATGGCTTCACCACCTTACTTTGGTGTATGGCAGACCAAGGGTCACATAAAATAAATTCAAAAAACTGACAGTAATTCTGGCCTCTGGCTCTAATGCAAGTACTGTTTGGACAACAACACACAAAGCAAAATCTATACTTCCTGGTGCAAAACAGTCTAAAGGTAAAAACTATATCCTGAATCTTTGCTGATTCCCATCCATTTGTCCAGGTTTGACCTGTAAAGGGCCTGTTCTGGCTCGTGGGACACATGTTTGACAACCCGGGTTTAAATGAACTAAATAATGTGCTGGATGCTGTTTGTGCAGAATATTTTTATATGCACTAACAGTAATGATTCATCTGGAATGATTGTTATCAGAGATACGTTAAACATTCAGTCATATTGTAAAAAAAATCAACTGTAGAACTCATAACTGTGTTTAATAGATGAAATAAGAGCTTTTTCACTTGCGCAATATTATGAGAACTCAAAGGTGTGTAGCCTTAAGAAAAGCACTTCTCTGTGATATTAATCTGGTTCAGTTTGCCAGTAAGCTTGAAGACTGGACACTAGAGCAATGGAAAAGATCATGCAGTCATTTGTATTATTGTAGTGTCTTTGCCTTGCAATATAAAGCTCCTTGAGGTGACTGTTGTGATTTAGCAATATATAAATTGAATTGAATTAAATTGACCTTTTCCATAGTGGTTTGTACATCAGGGTAAGAAGTGAAGCCGATGAGGTGAAGCACCCCTCATGCCTCATGCTCACAGCCTGTGGGGACGGTGTTATTATGCAGGGTCAGCTGGACCACCTGGATATACTGCACGATGGATTCTTTTTTTTTTTCATCCAAGATATCACGGACATATTCCAAGATGACAATGTCAGAATTCATCATCCTCACATTGTTTGGTTCAGAGAGCATGAGACATTGTCACACATGGATTAGCCAGCACAGAGCGCAGACTTTAACCCCACTGAGAATCTTTGGGATGTACATGAGAAGACTTAATGCAGCAGAGGCGGTCCAATGAAATATTAGCGGCGGACTTTGAATCCTCATCCTGACCACCAAGCTGGAAGTGACAAGATAAAAAACAGAGCTTCACTATTATCACGCAGGGCAAAATGATTTAATACAGGAAGAGGCCATTAATGGAGTCTGTAGGTCTTATAGATTATGAATGTGCTGAATCAAGTTAATCAGTCATTAGATTATTTATATATGTGTAATATATTCACTCTACTGTGCAAGTCTTGTGTGTGGTTGCTGCAATGATAAGTAAAATAATTTATTTATCTATTTATTTATTTTTTCAGCCTGCAAGTGCAATGGCCACGCAAGCATGTGCAACCCTAACAATGGCAAGTGCTTCTGTACCACCAAGGGCATCAAAGGAGACAGATGCCACCTGTGAGTTTCACATTTCATGATGCTCGCCTGTCTCTCTGTCCTCTTTTTCACTCATGCGATGTCTGAAGTCTTTACTGTAATATTTTGCACCCCTAGAATTCAGATTGCTTGTGGGGTACCGTAGACTTTATTTTCTAGTTTGTCTCTGTGCAGCAGATCCATTATGTGTTACACCCAGAGAATCTGACAGCACAGTAGTGGTACCGGTCTATAGAAAACCCTCAAATAGCCTTTTTTTAACTTTTTCTAGGATTTTTTTCTTGAAGATGGTCCTTTGTGATAGTACGGGCTTGTAGTTCAGCACTTTGGGGATCAAAGCTGGTAACTGGTCAATCACAGGCATCAAGGCTTCTGCAATCTGTGTACCGTGAAAACAACATTCAGTGACGAGTAAAAGTGTGAATTCCTTTTAATGATTTAGTCAACTTCTCCAAAAATTAACAGCATACATGTATTTGTCAGTTGTTGAGCTAACCCAAGAACGAGCCTGTCAAACCACCAGCAGATTGAGAAATGGGTTTCCAGTAATCAACAACCTTTATGTGCAAAATTGCTGAACCACATGAACTTCAGTGGGTTTTTTTCCTCCCCTGAAATGTTATTTTCCAGACCTGTAAAGCCACATGTTGAGATTTCAAAATGAGAAACTCTAACCATGGCACAGCGCAGCAGCAGCTGTTCATTAGCGCTTGCAGCTATATTTTTAGTACTTGTCTTAACCCTGGACTTCATTATCAGAAGGTTTTCCAAAATCCATTTAAAAAGTTGAGATAAGGTTTCACAAATGATTGGTCATCAGTATGAAAATGAGGCCTTTTTTTCGCCTTATTAAATTTCTTTAAAGATTTCGTAGGCACACGTTTCCTGTGAATTCCCATCACGCTCACTCAGTCTCCTTTTAATCTTTTTTTTTTTATTCTTTTACACTGTGGTGTTACTTCCTGGCTGAAGGTTAACACTTCTCTTCCCTCTTTCCTTTCTTTCTGACTTTTCTACCATCCCTGTTCATCTTTCCCTCTCCTCTCTTCAGGTGTGAAGTCGAGAACCGCTACCAAGGCAACCCCCTCAAAGGAACATGCTATTGTAAGTGGAATTACAATTACTAACGTCAGTAAAGGGGTTTGTGTGTGCGTGCGTGTGCGGTGTCACATTAAGAGAGCACTATGAGGTCTGAATCTCTTCCTTGTTCATGTCAGTGGCAAGACAGCAACACGGCTCCTAAATCAAAGCAGTTTGATGTTTAAAAAATAACATCCAGAGCCAGAGCTGCTCTTTTAACCCTTTAAAACCGGTCAGAGCGGGCACGCTCCGTTTTGCGTAACTATTTTTAAATCCCGGTAGCACTGCGACCACGTGAGCTAGCGCAATAATTTTTTTTGCATATGAAACCGGAGGAGTTGTACTTACATCTTATGCCATCAGCTTGTCCTCGATCGGTTTCCTTCCACATATAGCTTTGCAAAAACTGCATAAAAAGCGCTTGCAGGAACAAAAACATAATATTCCAGAAACTCGCTTTGCCGATCCGATCAGCTGTTCATAACACTTCCTACGTCCATCAGCGTGAACTATCGCATGTCCGCCATGACCTGCCTGAAACCGGAAGTGACGTCATTTTCGCGGAAATGTAGTTTTTTACCATCAAGGCCTCATGAGCTTATACTGATGTTTTTAAAAGTTATGTTTGACTTTATGACTTTCTGTGTCGTTTCTGGGATGCTTAGGACTCAAATTGCACTGCTGGAAATAGTTTATTTTGATGCATATGCTGCTTTTTTGCAAATTTGCATTATAATATTTATTTTCGTTTTTCCTGCAGTGTATAAAAATTGGTGTCTTTCAAAAATAAAACTATGAAGACACTCAAAATAAATTTCCTGTGGTGGGAAACTAGTTTGTGCAACTTTTTTGTATTTACAGTTTTGAGCCTCTTAAATTTCTCTAACTAGAAATATATGTTAAAAAACAAAAACGATTTTCAATTTTTTTGAAGTTTATTGCACTTTTTTGCAATTTATGTAATTACTATGCACTTAATGCATGCATATTATTAAAATTTAGGCTGTAATGGTTGTATTGATGTATAGCAACTTGAAATGCTCCAAAAAATGGCTCTACAACATGTAAAAATATAATATAAGCTCTGGCGGACTTGGTTCTATGGTAGGTCTTAAAGGGTTAAACAAGTCGCAGGTGGAAAGAATTGAAAGTGAGACGCAGATGAAATTGCCAAAAAAATGCATGTAAGCTTATAAAGGACCGTCTTGCTCTTTTTGCACCTGTGATAAGTCATTTTGCAGACAGATTGCAGTACAGCGGTCCTGCCATTTTAATCTCATTATCTGATGATTATGGAGGCTAAAGTGATGTCACGTTTGTCTAATCATCAGTACTTTCTAACCCAAACAAGCTATAAATCATGTTGGACTGTATAGTGTTAAATTTTCACACTGATGGAGGAACTAGGTCATCCATTGTGCTGCTTTAAAAAAAAAAAAAAAGTATTTGTTTTTATTACCCTGTATTCTGCTAAGGTGTGAAAATGTTTCTAAGGCATAAATGAGCAGGAACATTAAGTGTTATCCATATTTACCCTGAATTAATTGGATAGTTTGTTAAAAATCAGTCAACTGTAAATTCATTCCTCATCAGATTATTAATCTATAATGGAATTTAACAGCTAGTGTTCAGACACAGCTTATTTTTGGTAGCAGCTGTTGCTATTTGTGGTTGTAGCAAACGCCCCCGTCATCCAAACACACTGCAACTTTAATAAAGAAGTCGGGCAGTAATTTGTAATTGGGAATTTTCAATCAGCCTGTGAGCCACGGTGATCTGATTTTCTGCTTTGCACAATATGAGTCTACGTCCCCACTGTGTTCGTTCGGTTACCTTGCTGGGAGCTTAGAGGCGTGCTGCCAGTGACTGCCAGCTCACCGTGGCTGCTCCTTCTTGTCCCATTACTCCCTGTAATATTTCAAAACGACCTGCTGTCAAAAAAATGCCAGCAGGGACTGTTGTTTTGTATGTGCGTTGGTGGGGAACAGTAGTGGCAAGCGCTCGGTTCCTGACACAAGCTGCATTTCCTGTTACTACCTAATAATAAAAATAAACTCATGTCTGCCGGTTACATTCCTTTTAATGTGAAGTTGAAGCAGTTGGGAATGTTTTCTGTACATTAGACGTTAATTACATTAGTGTTTTTTAATGACAGCACCATGTACTATTATTCAAATATCTATAAAGCTTTTGATCAGTGTTACCCTTGCTGTATGGAGAGGAAACAAACTAACAAATAAAACCCTCCAATTTTTCCAAGTACGTGATCCAGCTGTTTAAATTGATTTTTGACTGAAGTTGAACTTTTTTGTTGAACTTTTTGTTGAGGTGGGATTATTTTATGTTTACTTATTTTCGAGATTTGGCCCCATCTAAATCGCTCTTATCCAGATTATTTGAGTGGAACTGTAACTGCAGAATAACCCCTGGCGTCTGAATGCGTCCGTCTCCCGTGTTTTGTTGCGCTGTCCTGAAAGTGACCTTCAGCTGTAATTTACCGCTAGCTGACACGCTGTCATGTAACCCATCCTCTGTCCTGACCTTCATCACAGAGCACGCTCCAAAATCCTCAGGTCTCGAATCGAATGTTTGAAACGGGGAAAGAATGGGAGTAATTTTCTGAAACCATGTTCTTGTGTGACTTTCAAACTAGACTGATTGAGTTGTTCTTCTGCTTCTTTTTGTAATCCCCACCACATTCCTCCCACGCTGGCTTCAAACAGACACGCTCCTCATCGACTACCAGTTCACCTTCAGCCTGTCGCAGGAAGACGACCGCTACTACACGGCCATCAACTTTGTGGCCACACCTGAGGAGGTATGTGTCTAACAGTGAGCACCCCACCGCCACAGCAGCTGTCACTTCTGTGAGGATTAGAAAGTTTACAGTTGTTGTCGAACAAATAGGCTCACTTCTTTGTCATTTTAGGGATAACTTAGATGGTAGTTCAGTAGTTTACATGCACACCGATTGTACTGGACAGGCAGGAAGCACGGTGACGCCAAAACTAACTTCAAAATAAAATAAGAATCAGTATTTAATAATCACTCAACAAACTGAGTCGACTGGTTTACTATGTTCCCTGCAGGAAAGTTTCCTCGCTGATAAGCTGGTGATCAGAGCGAAGAGTAATGTGGCCACTCATCAGAGAGTCAGTCACACAGATGTTTTTTACAGCAAACAAAAGCTTGTCTGGTCGTGTTTACCTGGCTGCAGCATCTGGGGCCAAAATTGAAACATAAGCATCTGATTAAATGTTCCAGATGGTATTTTTCCCCTGACAAAGCTTCTACTAAAGATTTACAAATACACAATCGGCTACAGGGGAAGCTCAACTCTTACAGCAAATCACAACATATTTCGATATATATTTAGCAAATCCAGGAAACTTGTGGTGAAGTTGAATTTTTAGCTGTTTGAGTTGTTCCGCAGTTATTTAGTAAATCAGAAACCAAAAGATCGTTTACAAAATATAGAATTGAGCAGACGATTTCAAAGTCAAGACAAAGCGATGATAACATCTGTGACGCACATGTGTAACAATAAATAGTGAAGACATCTGGATTTCTCGCCGTCTAGCTTCAGCCGGCTTCGCTGAAGCTGTTGAAATGTTAATTGTTGCCTTTTTTTTCTTTAATAAATGATTGATTCATGAACGCCGGCTTTCAGTTAGTGAGTAAACATCAATTACATCTCAGCTTACATCTGTTTGACATTATTTGAGCTTCACTTACAGTGAATGTGATACATACAGTGTTCAGCTGCGGTGCTTATTCAAACATTTGATTTGTTAATTCGGCCTCCCATTAGCTCTGCAAATTTGCTCTGGTCTGCAATAGAGTAAGTGCTTGTGCAGCTACAAAGTGATACCGGAGGAGTGAACAAAGTTGCTGCTCTGCAGTTACAGTAAAACGTAAGGGCTTTCCTGGTCTGTGTGCTACGAGCAGTTTGTTTTTCGTTTACTCTGGTGGCTGCAGTAAAAAACGGACTCGCCCATCTTCACTGAATTGCGGTTCGACCACTATGGGGCACGTGGGGGAAATGACACCAGTAAACTGATGATGATGACTTGTTCGTGTTTCTGTCCTCAGCCAAACCGAGATCTAGACATGTTCATAAATGCCTCCAAGAACTTCAATCTGAATGTAACCTGGGCCACCAGCTTCACCGGTAAGTCTCAACAAAGCCCCTTATTAGTGCTGCTCAACGAATTAGTCAATGAGCTAATGATTGGCCAGTGATTGAAATATGCACTCAAGTGTTTAAATTAAGGCTTAAAATGATAAATATTACTGATTTTCTCAGACAAAGTGAAGATGACTGGTTTTATATTCATGTAATAACAAGTTAATGACAAGGTTTTGTTTTGTTTTTTGTCACCATGTTCACAGCTGTTTAAAAATGATATGAAAAGTCACCTGTCTTTCCATTGTAGTAGTTTCTGCACCAGGAGATTTACAAATGTGAAGTAATGCAGATATTTCACATTTGTTGTGTCAATAAAATTCCACCAGACACTGGAGCAGAAATGAGAAATTCTCCTTTTCTTTTTGTCTTGTCTTGTTTTTTCTTTTTTTAAAAAATAATTTCCTCCATCATCTATAACTTTTGTATGATTTGACATTTTTGTCCTGTCTTCCCTTTCCCCTTTCTTCTCCTCTTTTCTTTATCATCCTGTTATTTCTATTTTCTGTATTCCTATTTTCTCCCTCCATCTCTGTCCCTTTTTTGTGTCACCCAGCGGGCACCCAGGCCGGAGAGGAGATCCCCATCGTCTCTCGGAGCAACATTAAAGAGTTCAAAGAAAGCTTTTCCAATGAGAACTTTGATTTCCGAAACAGCCCCAACATTACTTTCTTCGTCTACGTCAGTAACTTCACGTGGCCCATCAAGATCCAAGTAAGCAACTCGTACGCTTAACGATAACTGATCCGTTTTTGTTACCATACATATTTGTAAAGCAGGGAGGTAAAGACAGGCTCACTACAGATTAATGCAATACTAAAATTCTGTTCAATTTGTAACTCTATATTTATGATACAGCTCCACTGTGAGCAATACATTTACATAAAAACTGACATGTATTGATGACTCAAATGCCAAAGAAGCGTGATCGATTGTCAGTTTATGGAGTGCTCTTATCTGGGCACATTTACTTCTGCCAGACAGAGTAAGTCATTCATGTGACATCTAAGAATCAGCATTCATTCACTGGTTTGATGAAAGTGAAAAGAATGTTAGATATGAATTTAAAAGTGTTAAAATGAGAAGCTTGGTGTATGACAAAGTGTGGGAAGTAGAATTAATGATGGCCGGAAACCTTAAACGTGACAGGTAGAGAAGGTTGCTTTGTTTCTGTGTCACATATATGAAAAAGGGGACGAGTTTACCAAATGTAGCTTTAAGTCAAATTCACTGGTATTTTGCAAATATAATAATAAACGTGAATTTGCTGTGCAATTGTGTAACTTTATTAGCAGCGTCCTCCTGAAATGCGCCAACAACATCGAAAGTAACATCCTCCTCTCTACCCCTTAACGCTCTTTTGGTCGCTATGGTAACGTGTGAATATTTCTTTCAAAATAAGACACAACTGCAATATGAGTTAACCAAGTTAACGATAAAACCCCAGAAACCATAAATTTCACACCTGAGCCTAAACTCTCGTGGCCCAGTGCTAAATGACTCGGCCCGGGGGTTGGGGACCGCTGACGTAGCGGATCAATACAGGGCGTCCATGACCCTGTTGGGGACACTCCCATAGGGCTTAAATCCAGGGCTCTCCACCTGTTGTTCTTAGAACTGAAGAAGCTTCTCGGATAAGAGGTGAAACGTCTTTAAGACACTTAAATAAGTCCAGAGGCTTTTCTTTCCAAGCTCCTTAGACAACTCTGAGATAAGCAGTATCCGCAATGCTAAAACAACATACAAACATGACACTTTAAAAGCCAAAGACACCTTTATAGAGTTGTAATTTATGTGTTAGCTGTGTGTTGTAGTGGTTACTGCAGTTTTTTTTTTTTTTTAACTTTTAGAACAATTATCTATGTCAATTTGAAATTTCCTCTGTCACCAGGACAGAGGACAGTTTGCTGACTTTGTTCCAGGCCTCTGAATTATTAAAATTAAACCAGCTTGGTTTGACTGTACAGACAAAACAGCAGTGGTGTTTAATTTTTGATCGTTTTTGTTATTGTGCAGCATGTAATGGAGCTGTGTTGTTTTTTCAGAAAGTAAGCCTTTTCTTTTCACCTGAAATGAGTTCTTATTGGCTTTATTGCTGACATAGTTAGCAAAATGGTAATCAATACAACACTTTACGTCTCAGTACTCAGCGGCTTTGATTCAAGTAACACTGTAACACAGACTCGGCCCTGATTAAAATGCAGCTGTACTCAGTTGCCTTATGCTTAACGACTGTGTTGTGTTTGAAACGCCTCATACAGCTTTGTATCGACATCCTTACACGTGTAGTTGTCACTGATGTAGGATGTGGCTTGTTTTCTGTGTAGATTCGTAGAGTTCTAATAAAGCATTTCAGGAAATTGCATCTGAAAATGTGCCGTGTGTACATGGGTGTTTGTGCAGGGTGGTATAAACTCCTGCATCAATACAACCTGTTGGTGTAATAAATGAATGTTCTGCCAGGACTGCGCGCTGCTGGAGGGGGAGAGTCACTCTGGGCCTGGCTTCCTGTGCCCGACTGTGTGCCTCTCCAAACAGTTCTGGGAATGATTTTCGGTGGTTGCCCCCCTTGCAAGCTTCTTCCCCCACCTCTCGCCCTCCTCCTGTAGGGGAGGAAAAAAATAAAATCCTGCCTCCATCTACCATATCCTGCCTTGTGAGGGCTTTTAGTTTAGAACACCCAAACTGCTGCCAACCAGCCTCAGGAGGTGCAGCTCCACAGCAGAGCAGAGAGCTTAGCTGACTTAGCTCCCCCCACACCCCACTCGGCCTCTTTTAGGTCCACCTCACCTTCTGCCTTCCTGGGTGGGATCATGTAGAAGATCACCCCTATTTTGAAACTAAAACACAGGTCTGTTGCTATGTTTTTTGGGTTTCTTGCCCCCTACTTTGCACTCGTGGAGTTTTATCTTCGTCAGCGAGGTAACAATTTCTGTTTGGGTTTTTTTTGTTTTTTTTTAAACCACTTCTTCTGACTAATAGTTCTTGATTTTTCCTTTGCCTTTTCTCGCTCTCCTCGCATTCAGCGGTCTGCTGCAGTGTGACACTTGGATACGTGAGCGCGCTTGTGTGTGGAACCGTAGGCGGCAGGTCCTCTGGTGTTGGCAGGCAGAGATCGGCATGCTGGAAAATGGTTCATAAACAGCAACTTAGAAAGAGCAAGGGCAAAGTGGAATGTTAAGTTGAAACACATGCTGCATTCAGAGTGCGCGAAGCTAAGCTCTCTCTCTCTGAGCTATACAGGGCTCTCTGTCTTTCTCTTGCTCCCTCTCTTCACACGCCACCTCAAGGTTGCTTCTGTTTGCTTTCACAGGGTTGGAAGTGGCGCTCGAACAGCAGGCGCATCATTTTGAAGGGAATTTGTTTTTTGCTCGTTTTACCTTCGCTCCACTTTGTCCGAACACACGGTTGAGTTCAAGCTTTTTGGAATTATTACACATTTCTTCACATCAGATCAAAAACTTCTAAAAGCCCTGAATTGAATTACAGGACACACCCCGTTGTAATTAGTCTCATTTACCAAATGAGATCTTTCCCAGTGGTCGGAGTGAATTCCGTGATGAGTTCATCAACCGTCGAGCTGCTCGGATCATCAAAGCAGAATCAATTGCAGGGAGATTAGTAAGCCCGGAGTTCTCACACACCTCTTTTCTCCCTTTTTTCCTGATGAAGAATAGATCAGATTTTAATGATGTTTGTAATGAAACACAAATCCCAGACTAATTACATTAAAGACCTGTGATCTCCTGTTCCATGCCTTAGTGAACATGTCACGATATGGTAGAGATTACAACGGCCTGCAATTTAATACCCCGCCGTGGAGTAGCAGCATCTGTAGCTATCAGCTGACTGCTGCTCTGCATATCTGTACGGACCCGTGTAGCGTTTATCTGGGCCATGCCTCGCTGCCTGGTGGGTGTGTCTTGATAGTGATCGCAGAGAGGTTGGAAAACAGAAGCAGTGGTTTTTGCAGTGACTGATACAACATAAAATTACTGTATAAAAACTAAAGGAAAATGAAAACTTAAAAAGGTACCATGCACATTAATATAGTGGTTATATATGAAAGTATTCTACCTTTAAAAAAATCTACATGTTTAACACCTTAATCTGAGATGCACTAAGATAACAGGAGTAAGTACTTTCCTTAGGAATACCACTTACAGAAATTGATAATTGCGTCACCTTGCAGTAATTGCATAACTCATTTCTAGTTTGTAAAGCAGGTAATTTAGTCTTAATTTAGATTTAAAGACTAATCGTTAGATTCTTTCTTCCTTTTTAAGTTCCTCCTGGCGTGATCGGAGGTGTGGCTCTGTGTTTCTCTTTAAAATATGCCCAATGTTTTTGAACATATTCCTGTTCAGCTCAGAAGCTTTACTTCTTTTTAAAATCTGTCATTTTGGCAGCATGCTGGAGATTATCGTGCCAAATGTTCATGTGACTTGGAGTCATCTTTTAGGCTTTTTACTTTTTTAGCTTTCCCTTTTTTTAAATCACATTGTTGTTGCCTCGACTTTCCATTTTGGTGTGTGTTTGTCAGTTTAGTCATTCTAAAGGATCGTGCTTGTTCATAAAATGGCAGTACTCCTTTGTTTTGGCTCAGAAACATTTTAAAACATTTGACACTGAAGTAAGTTTGCACAGATTTTACTTACGGATTTTGTTGTTTACTGTAAATTTGAAAATCAGCCAGCTACTCATCATTTTCCAGCTAATCTAACTTGCTCAGTACAGTAAAGTAAAACTGTTTACTGACCTTTGAGGCTTCACTTTGACTGTGCTGTTTTGAGAAAAATGTAAATTTTTCTGCAGTGTATGGCTGCAGTGACAGAGCTGCCATGCTGAGGTTTAGCAGGTATAGTGTTGTTTTGTTGATGACGGTTCTTTTTGTGGTGTTGTTTTTGCCCCTGTATCAGGATTAAATCAGTCTGAGTTTGATGGGAGTATTATTACTTCTCCAAGTATTTGGTCACAAACACAAAGCGCTGGACTCTTGATTGTTCCTCAGAAGATGTCAGATTCATTAGATGGTTAAGTCATTTCACACCAAAAAACAGAAAGAGAGAAAACCCTCCAGTACTGTTACAGCAAAAGTCCAGAGTTCACCAACATCATCATACATCATTTGTATACACCAGGGTTGTCAAACATAAGGCCCTGGGGCCAGAATCGGCCCAGCAAAGACTCCAATGTGGCCCACTTTGACCCCCATCTTTGGAAAATGTGACAACACCTATTGCCATTCATACTACACCAAATTAAGTAATAGATGAACAACAGTTAAAACTAGAGATGGACCGATCCGAAATTACGTATCTGTATCGGTCCGATACTGACCTAAATTACTGGATCGGATATCGGAGAGAAATAAAAAATGTAATCAGATCCATTAAATATCACAAAAGCACCTCACAAAACTTGCGACATGGCGTAACTCTGCTCATAACCGTAGCACGTCGGAGCAGTATGCATCACGTGATAGAGCGGCTGTGGCATGCAAGACTGTCAGCGGTCTGGAGCCTCGCTACCAAACCGGCATCTAACAACAGCTTGATAATCTGTTGTTAGAATTTATTTAATTTTACTTTGTACACCAGGATCTTTTTCTCTGTTGAAGAAAGATGTTGAATCTATTTAATTATTCTTGAAAAATAATTGATTTCTGTGCATTTTTTTTTCCCCACCCTGCATCAAATTAAAGTTGATTACGT